AGTCAGATGGGGAATATTGCATAAGCTATTGTGTCCCTGTGCATTCCTTGAGTGTGATGCTGTGTTTTTTTTCTTGCTTGCCTTGTCATTTGTTTCATTTAACTTTCTCATTAATGGCACAATTGCTTTGCTTTGTTCAAAAATCCTATTCTGAGAAACAAGYATTACTTTTGTCTTTAACTTCTTGCCAGCAAAAGATTTTCAAATGCATGTGGTACAGAGGAATTGTACAAGATTGTTTGAGAGCAAAAAGAAATATCTAAAATTAAAAGCACAAATCCACTTACTACATTCCCATTTTTCCTTTGACATGAAATGAAATCTTAACGYGAGAAATGCACACAGTTCATCAGCATACTCTGAGCAAATACATAATTAACATGTGGAATAAGCAAAGCTGTTGTCAACGCTTTCACATATGTTACCACAAAACTAAAATATTTTAATTAGTAGAGAAATAGAGGAAAATCCAAGTAAATACAGCTCATGCTTGACATAAAATTAGCTTGACTCTATGAATATCAAAAGTAAGAGAATCTCATCTCTACTTTAACTATCCTTACCATATTAGGACAGCTTAGTGGGTCCTGCATAAATCAAATCTGCTTTGATAAATAACTACTTGGTGTAGGAGTGTCCATCGTGACCATTGTGCAAATGCTTAATAAATCATTGGCAGAAATCAAAACATTCAATAACAGGTCGGTAGAAYGTGTAGACTTTGGTGTTTTGTAATAATCCAATTTACCGGACTGACAGAACCTTATTTAAAACTATGTTGTAAGAAGAAAAAAGGAAACTATATAGCAATACCATGTGGCTTCTGATTTGGGAACTACAATTTAGCCTATTAGACATGGACCTGTTCCAAAAGTGCACATTCAAACCATCATGCATGAAGGAGTTAGAAACACAGATGTGAATTATAACTCTCTGAAATCCTGGGAATGCTCCAAATTAGGTGGATTTGAACTGTAAGTACAGATCCAGATCTAATTTTTTTTGTACAAACCTGTCTTTCCCTAACTTTTTTAAAGCAACAACTGAATGTATTAAAACCAACATTGTTCCATAAGCTTAAAAAAACCACCAGTTAAACCCATCTTAGCTGTGTTCAGACATGATTCACAATGGCTGGCTAAAACACTTTTATAAAAAGGCAATAATGAAAATCACCAGTTGAATGTAATGGGACAGTTTAAATTAGTCAAATTTAAGCCAGATTACTGTGGCTCCATTGGCTACATACAGCTTGACAGTGATCACTCTGACCCAATATTTAACATTAGAAACATGAAGAATTTAAGGATTTTCTTTTCCATGTCTGGGACAGAATTTTGAAGCATCTGCTCTCTTTCCAGTCCTTTTTAGACACCCACACTAAAGTCAATGTTTTTGACTACAGCAATGGTGTTGGTTGGAACTGGGGCTGGCCATTCCACAAGCATACAGGTGGTAGAGGATAGAAAATGTACCCTGTAACACTGTATAGGGCTAAAGGCACAGAAGGAGCAATGAAACCATTTTCCAGTGCTCAGGGAACTGAGGGTCCCAAATCGATGCAAATACCCAGTTCACTGATGCTTTTATCTGTAGATTTTATTACTGCAGGTTTCTCTTTCTTAAAGTCAAACATATTTGCAAAGTGAATCGCAGTGATTCTTCTCATGTAAATGATGTAGAAGGTGTGGCACAAATCAGTCTGGTCTTGGCCACTCCATACTGTGTAGTAAGAGAAACTGGGTCTGCTGAATCAGATCTACTACTGTACCCACAAAACATCTCTCTCCATTGCTGTTCTGAACATCTGATGACTAAAAACTAGATTTTCACACCTTGAAGGAAAGAAATGAACCCACAGTTCATGGCCTAAAACAGTTCCCTATTAACAGTATTTTAAGAAACAACCATTAAAAAGGGATCATGASCATACAGAAGCAATGGCAGACAGAGCAGCATTGCACAGACAAAAATGAAAAAGCATTTTTATCCCTTTTAAATGGCCTGGTGATGGTCACTACCACTCTTGTAAACTGGTATAAGCGTGCACCTTAGTAACACAATGCAGCACTATGTAGTCTCAGGAATTCATCTCATAATCTGATATTTTGTGTCATGCAGCAGCAGAAGTCAAAACAAAAAGTATAAAGCCCCTTCCAAAGCATGTAATCATAGCTACTGTTGATATCAAAAGTATTTGAATGCACTGTAAAAAATTATAAATGGTTTTAATAAACATGTCAGGTCTGATAAAAGTGAAATACACAGTAATAGCATCTTTATGTAAACATATAAATCTAAATGATGTCTTAAAAAAATTCAAAATAGTCCTACTACTATTACAGTCCATTAATAGGGACTAAACATCAAGAGTAAGTCTGAATGAGTATGACTGGATTGTGTATTTTGACAGCACTGGAACATAAATATATCTAGAAGAGTTTTCTAGGTTTGCAAGTTTCTGAAAAAGAGAATTGGTTTTATTGTCTGTAGCAGCAAACTTCACAGAAGACTGTTGTTCTGCTGTAGAGACTTCTCGAAGTCCCAAAGTATAAGCAAAATTATACTTAAAATAAGCAAGGAATAAGTTTTAATTGTCTGAAGGGAGAGGTGCTAGGGTTGTTGAGAAAAACTTTTCTAGCTCTTTAAAACTGCTGAGCTCATRTATGTGGTAAATCACCAACCTGAGAGAGAATAGACTCAAGAACAGGACAAATAGGCAATAGCAGTTTTCAGGCTCTCTGCTGGAACTGGTCCCTCTGGATAAGAGCTGAACCACTATTCTGTTTCAGGTGTATCACCAAATAGCAGTTCTGGGGTATCTGCCATTGCATTAGACTAGATCCAGTAACCCAGAAATTTGAGGGTCCCTGTCTCTTAGTATAGTCCCTGTTCAATCGCCCAATATTTCTTTAAAATTGACACATAAAATGAAAATAATGGTACKACATAGTTCTAGCATTACTAATACACGTGATCCTTCTCAGTTGCATACTAAAGACACGGCCTTTGGCACTGAGACASTGCATGTGTGTGTACATACGCTCATATATATGGCGTATATTTCAGCCAACACAGAGACAACTGTGAGCATAAACTTCAGTTTGCAGAACTTTGAGTGAATAGGGCCAGTTTGCAAAATTCTATTCACTAATTAAGTACATGAAGTACATCTTTTTAAGTTTGATAGATATGTATGGTATTAATGATCATAACTATTTGGTATTTTTTGCATGAGGTAAATTTTCAGGTAAATTTTTGTTAACTATTTGGCAAGCTGGAACATTCACAAGGAGTTTTATCATTTGTAACAAATATATGGATAATATTTTTAATTTTTGAAGTAATCCAAGTGTTAATCATGTCAGAACGACAACCATAAGATAAGCAATGTCTCCATGTTATTTCAGTGCCTCAAATTCATGAAGGCAAAAATACAGCAAAACAGAAACGGCCTGCCGTGCTCCAGCATTTGGTTGCGTGCATTGTACTGACCACAGCAGTAGAAGGTGGCCTTCCATGTGCTTTTTAGGGTGACATATATCACTGCATTTATGGCATTTCATGATTCTTCTTTCCCTTTCACATTAATGAGTGGCAGGCCACACAGTACCACATGTGCTCTGCTCACTACAAGATGCTGCATTCCATCCTCCTCAGATATACTGAACATTAAAGTTTACTGCATTTGTGAAATTTGGGAAAACATAAAAACCAGGGAAAGTATTTTGTGTTTTATTCCCTTGTAGCTTCCACCAAAACCATCTTTCTTAGGTAACCCAAATATAGAAGCAGTGCAGACAAGCATGAAGCAAACTCTGAACCATGGGGAAAGCAGGAACTGAACTAATGATCTCCCTTGCTCCTTCTGTGAGAATATATGAGCAGGGCAGCTACATCCATAAAATAAAGTGTATTTCTTCCCTGCCAGCTTGTCTGAAGCAACTCCCAATGGAAATATCTTACAATTCTTGGCTATTGTGTCAGGAGTGAAGAAGACTATTAGTTATCCTTAGCTGCCACTCCACACTGAGGAGGAAATCACGATTGGGTGTTCCTCAGCAGAATGATTTGAGAGCTCCAACTGAAGAATCTTTGCTTCTGACAAAGGAGGCCRGGCTACGTGGCTCATTCTCTTTGTTCAAGGAGTCAGGACAAGAAGGAGAAGACAGTCCCTTTCCTAACAGGGYTAGTCCTCGGGAACTCAGCTCATTGGAGCTCGCCGATCAGCCTTTCTTTTACATGCGCTACACACATGTAGAGAAGAATGGAGCCAACAGCTTTGTGGCTGGAGACTGGTGTTTGAAGTGGTCTGAAAAATGTGGAGAGGTCTAGTATCATCCCGTCTCTTGCCTAGCAGTTAATTCTTCCCCTGCCCCCTCTTAATTCCCCAATTAATCCTTGGTCYTTAGTCCCCACATCAACTATGCCCCAAGTCTTTTTAAAACTTTTTGAAAGTAGGGAGAGCTACACAAGAGCTATGAGCTCCTGCAACCTTCTATCGAATAATGTCTTGGGACTAATGATATTTGATAGAATTTCTCAATCCCATCTGTATTCTGATAGATTTTAAGCMTTTCTTGTGGATCAAAACTCAGAAACGAGAAAGGAGGTGAACTTTGGAACAGGAATCAGACTGAACTGGGAGCAAACAACAGCGTTTGACTTTATAATAATTCACAGACCTCACGAGTTATACTYGATGAACAGAAGTTGTATGAATTACATTGTGAGAGCACAGTGTGCCAGAATACACTGCTTCAGGGCTGTCAGTTCCAGGCAGTGTTTTACTTATTCATTAGATCAGGCACAAGAGAACTGTGTTTGATTATAAGCCCTTTAAGACAGAGTCTGCCTAATAGTTTGTGCCACACATACTTCAGTGGAATCTTACTGTGATTTGAGCCTCAAGGTACATTATTAAATTATTAACACAAGAGTCAGTGTCACAATCAAGTTGATATGAGACACATTGGACGATGTTTATTTTCTACCCTTGATCCCATGGTTCYCAATAATATTTCCAAGTCATCATCTTTGCTGTAGAATTTTAAGAACAAACCTTGCCTGCATATTACATGCATATGTCTCCTGGCCACCTCCACTGAATGCCTCTGCATTCCCTTCCTCTGAGAGATTTTCATGTGCCTGAAAAGATAACAAAATGTCATTGCCACGTTCAGCCAGTTGGAATAATCAGAACAGTTCTTCAACAAATGCATCAACTCAAATTGGGGAAATTATTTTATTGCCAATTAGAATAAAWCATTACTGATTCAGGCAGTGGGGGAGAGAGGGAAAGAAAATAAGAACATTTACACCCTTAGAGAAAACACTTTTCCTCYGCATTTCTCAGGTTCAAGTTCACTCCATGCACCTCTCCTCCTCTCCTTGTTATCACCACAGGTTGCATTCTGTCCCTTTGGTGAGGCACTGGGAAGCCCCTTCTTCCTTCTCGCTATTTTCCTCTGCTGCAGCATCACTCCTCCACAGGGTGCAGAGAATACCTGCTCCACCACAGACACCTCCTCCTCCTCTCCTCAACTTCTTCCTCATCCTCTTGCTCTTACATCTCCTCCTCTGCCTTTGGTGCTCCCTCTGTTGTTTATCACTCTTTTTATTCCTTCCTCCACTCTCAGACATTCTTTGCTCTTTCTCTTTCCCCAGGGTGCCACTGTCTTGGCTGAAGGATCAGCCACGTCCTGTGATGAGTCCACTGGAGGCAATTTGGACTGACTGTGCTCAGTGCAGGGTAGCCCTGGCTTCTCTCACAGGCCACCTGCTGCCAGCCTTGACATTTATCACCAACAGATAAAGTGTGCCCTACTCTGTTACAAAGTGGAGGGAAGATGCCCCATGAGGAGAATTCATGGTCTTGTGTAGCTATTTCACCTACCAGCAGAGCGATCAGATCATTATAGGATTGTGGCAGGCAAATCTCCAGTGGCATTAGAGAGTGGGCTGCACTGAAGCCAGTGGGAGAGACCACTCAAATCACCTGGGACCTCAAGTTTCTCAYTGCATTAGCCTGTACCACACCGTGATGCCTGGCAGGAATGCAGTTCTCAGGTTTGGAATARCAGGGTGAGTAGAGACTGCTGGGCTGGGCTGCAGCAAGGGGTGCAGGTGTCTCTGTGGTCACTGGGCCCAGCTGGAGGTTTCTCGGCCATGGAGCAAGAGCAAAGGCCCTGTGCCAGGACTCCCCACAATGATACAGCTCCTTGGGGAATAGAACGGAGTTACAGAAGGCAAAGATGTATGGAATATAATCACAGTTAAGAAGCACATGAGRTCCCAGGTGGCTGGATTACTTTAACTGCAACTATAGGACGTGACAAGGGGGCAGAAAGAGAATGTGAGGGAAGATCAAGGAACGCTGCCGTTTTTCTGAAGTCATTTGCAGAAAATGCTGCCACAGGAAGATTATGTTCAGACACTTGGAATTTTAGGACTAGTGAGGGCAGGACACCAAGTTGCCTAAAACAGCAGAGCTAAATACAGAATTAGAAGAGGAAGGAAGAGCAGAGATGGAAGGAAGCAATATTCCAAGTTCTATTCATTTTTTTAAGTCCACCTAATTTCAACATAGGCTTAAAAACAAAACCTCCAGAGGATTCTTCCTTCTAGGAATTAAAGCTTTGAAGCAAAATCTGGTTTTCTGTCTTTATCAGATTTTTTTTGCTGTCCCACTTCTTTCTCTCASTCTAATATTTAATTGGCTTTGGCAGAGATGATCTATTGCTAGTTCTGTGTCAAGTTCTTGACCATAACTTCTGAGATTTCTCCAGTCATCTCATGTTCCTATTTAAAATAACTGGAAAGTTTAGATAACCTAATTCCAGAGACTGCCATTTTGCAACAAAATTCCATCTGGTCAAACATTAGATCTGCTAACCATGGCTGGAGTGAAAAATAAGTTTGTCTTCATATGGAGAATGTACGGTGTCAGTTAAACATGATTTAGAGTGGAATAACTTGCTACCAATGAGCATCAGCACTGGCAGCAGGAAAACTGGCTTTTAAGAATACCTATTTCAAAGTACGCTTGCTGGCAGTCTGGTACTCACTTCCAGCTACTTGGGAAGATTTGAGAGTTCACGCTTTGTAGGAATGGTGTCTTTCTCAGAACTTTCAGGATTCTGGAAGGACACAGACAAGGAACCTGGTTATGGAGAAAAAATAAAAATTATGTTAAACAGAAGGAATTGAGTACTACTTAGTGCTATTGCTAACCCTACTGCTAAATGGATATTTTTAATAAATAAACAGGTCATAATATCCTTGGCAAAGACCTATGAGGATATTCACAGCTGAAACAAGGATGAAGCAATGCCTCTCACATCCTCCAAAAACATATTGACAGACTAAGAGAAAGAGATTTCAGTATCTGCTGGAATATAAATTGATGAAGCACAAGAAGCCAGGGAGGTTAAATGTGTATGTGATTGCCATGTCACTGCAGAATGAAGTAATGGCATTATTCYTCTCTGCATTAGGACCTGTGCAGTAAAGGCAGGGTTGATACCCTGCAACTTCTCCTTTCTTAGAAAATACATCACTCACGAGAACAGCACAGAGAGTAACTCCCCTAYAGACAGCAAAAGAGAGGCAGATGTTTCTGTGCACAACTCAAAAGAAGAGCAAGCAAAGTCCTTGTACTGAGAGAATTTCACATGAGCTATAAGCTTGTCCTGCTAAACTACAGAGCTTGGTTAATAACCTGCAGGGAATGATGATGAAGTTTTCTCCATATCTTCTTGCCTTTTAATGAGTATTCTCTCCAGCGCCAAGGCTTCTATGTACTTGGAATAGGACCAGGAAGCCTGCAAGAACCATAAAAAAACATCAGCCTTCAGGTCATATCGCTGTAGTTTCTGATACATTTCAACAGTAAGATAAAAAACTTGTTTATGTTATATCCCTGTTACTGGATAATTACAATATTGGAATAATGGGGAAAATAGTATTGCAGTAAATAAGTAAATCTCAAAACACCATGATTTAAGYAAGTTTGACAGACACAGTGTTTATATTTATTTTCCAAAAGCAGTGTGAGAACTGCATATTTATTTGGCCTGGTTTTTATTTCTCAGCATGAGAAGTTTGGAGCCAATTTGTCATATCATGATTCAGTAAGAACTTTTAACACCTTCCTATAGTAGAAAGAAGCTTGCAAAAGAGAAGGAAACTGCTCTTTAAAAGATTATTATTAGTTCTACCTCTTGAAGGCTTAGACATATGCCAGGGATATAGGCTTGCTCAACTCACTTTTTTTTAATAGGTATGAGCAAAAGTGAAAAGGTCCAATTAWGGGATAAGAGTGGAAGTTTATCTGTGCAATTCACACTGTGGTTTCAGATTTTGGGGGTGTTTCTGCTCTTCACTAACATAGTGCCATGGTAAGAGCTCTATGGAATACAAGCAGTGGCCAAAGTGTGATGTATTCCTGATTCACATGACATACCTGGGATTWTGTAGTTGCACAGGTTCCCTGTCATGTTCTGGCAGTGGCAAGTTAGCCATGAATGATCCCTTGATACACACAACGTAGTATGTCTGTTTTTTCCATTTCCCAGTTAAATAACTTTACCTTTCCAGTACAGATTTGATGCATAGTCAAGTTGCCATGGAAGAAGTCCTWAAGTGGTATTTGCTGTCAGATTTTCAAATACCTAGATTACCTAAAGGAGTTCAGCTTCAGTTTTTGACATATGACCAGAACAGGACTCTAGCCTAAACCTAATTCTTTCAGGGTATGAATTTCACAAATAATGAAAAGCTTGTTATTCTAGAACTGAACTACTTTTTATTCAATTTATCTTTAAATACAGATTCTTTTTTAATCCTCGCACCATAAGAGCCTAACATTCTGTTAGATGCTAAATGTACTCAGAACCTACATCTTAAAAAAATTAATAAAGAACAAAAAAAATCACCTGTAAAGTGGRTTAACTTACAACATCAAAGCTAACTGTAGAAGAATGAACAGTTATTGAAGACATGTGACAACAGTATTCAAAACCAAACTCCCCCCTCCCCTTTTCCCAAGATCATTTTATCTCTCTTGAATGACATCTGTAGAAACGTATTATTTACCTTCCTCCCATATCCATCTCTAGGTGCTGAGGTTGTTGCTGATCCTCTCCTCCCATCAAGCCCATCTACCAAAGCACGCTTTCGCAGTTTAGTCAAGGAGTCAAGCTGAGTCAAGGGCTCATGCTGAGACAACGACTTAAATTGAGACAATGACTTAAGCTGAGACAATGACTTAAGTTGAGACGAAGACTTAAGTTGAGTCAACGACTTAAGCTGATTTAAGTTGTTGAGTTTTCTCCCCTCTTCTTCACCCTGCTTTAATATTTTTAATATTGAAAATTTGTAATTAGATGTGAAGAAGTTACAAAGTTAAAATAAAAAGCAAAGCAYGAAGAACCAAAAATTGTCATTGGAAATGAGATTGTGTCATTTACAGTAATGTTCTGTAATGCTCAGTTTCATAATTCATCATGTTGAGCATATTAAAAAATAGCAGAAGATACTACTTTTTTTTTAAGCATTTCTTTTTTCTAGTTCATGTTTCATGGCCTCTACACTCCTGCAGGTCATCTCCATTTCAGATTCAACACCTGCTCCAAAATACAKCTAGGTGACAGGGGCAGATCTACAACAGAACATATTTTAAGGACAGAGGGACATTGTAAGCCTCTAATTTAGCCTCAGGTGTAATTGTAGAATTAGGATTTGTCATGATTAATTCCAGCTTGGTCCAGTAGCTGTGTACAAACTACAGTATAAAGTTAGGAAAACAGGCRAACTTATTAAAAACATTTACAGTGAAGAACAAGGCATTGTAACCCTTGGCAAACTGCTCTGGTGATTAATTATTTGTCATTTTCATGTTGTTTTGTTTCACCTTTGCACATTCTCTCTGATGATCCCAAAACTCTTTATAAACATTAATCAATGTCAACATTTTACCACATATAACATCTCCAAGAGCTGAGTAGTATAACCGTCCAATGTTCCAAGTGCGAAAGTGAGGAAAAAAAAAAAGAGATCAAATTGTTCCCAAAGTTACTTAGCAAGTCCCTGAAGGATGTGGAAAAGGATCAGACTATCTTGTTTCCTTGCTCCCCAAGTTCCTTTTCCTTCTTCATCATCCTACTGTCCTATCAACCCATCAACTGTAAGAGTGAGTTTTGGGTACAGAACCTGCTCAGGCAGTGTGATGCTCATTTTCTCTCCAGAAACAGGCTTAGTAACTTTGGTGGCACACTCAGTGGAACAGGGATGCCAATGCAAACACCATTGAGGCAGCATGAATACWACTGCACTGCAGTTTATGTTTGCTGGCTTTCTCGGTGAGAATGGTGAATTAAGGTTTTTGAAAATTAATTATCATAATAAATTAAGTAATGCTATAGYGATTTAGATCCCATGCCATTATACCACTTACTAGCAAATAAACTTATTGCTAAGAGATGGCAGAAACGTGGAAAATAATGTTTATGGCTTTCTTTGCTAAGGACATGGAAAGAATAAGTACAAATCTACGGTGTAAGTTAAAGCTATTTTGTGAACTTGAAAGCAAAAAAAAAATCCAAAATCTATTTTGGAGATAAAATGCAACGATTACTACAACAAATTACTAGTACTGGCATCAAGGCAGTTTGCAAAAAGTGACTAATACATTTTAAAGTATGTGGTATGTGCATCTAGCAGCTAACAAAGGAATAAGTCCATTGCCAGGATGCCTTTAACAGAATTTGCCTCATAAATAACAAATAGGCACTCACACAAAATTCTGAGATAGCATTAATAATACCAAGTTATGCATCATTGCTCRGTGAAAAGCTCCTTGTCTGCCCATTTTTTCCATTCTATTACATAAAAACCCTACTCTTATCTGTCCAGTTCTAAAATTGAGGTGAGCCCAGGTGGATTCAGTGCCCTGGGGACACATTTGTAAAGGAAGAAGAAAGYAAATTCCTCCCCTAGGACTATGATTGCTCTGTTTGACATAAACCCAAAATAGCAACTGATTTGTGGGGTGGAGAGGAGATATACATAAGAAAAGCTGTTTCTAACCCTTGCCAGAGCTTTCCTCTCATTCAATGAGCCTGGTGGGGCAGAGGAATGTGGTCCTTGTTTCCACTGCCAAAAAATCATCACCTTCCATAAGCCAACAAGTGAACCTGCTATCACTCATGTTAGATGAAYCTTATCAGTATCCTTCGGGGATACTGAATCATTTGAATAGTTAYGTTGTCACTGAGAAGACAGCAATCTCAGGCAAAAGAAAAGGAAATGACAAATTCGTTAAACAATAACAGAATGGGAAAAGCATTTAAAAAATATTTGAAAAATTTATCTGTTCCACCTCTTCTTTCAAGAAATTTCAAAAGGTAACTGATTTACTGATTTTTTTTTTTCTTTTGTGAGGAGAATTGTCTACAAACTGTTTACTGAGCTGCATTCTCTGCCTTTTGCTTTCAAAAATTTTTCACTCTATTTCTTTGCTTAGAAGGGTAATTCACCTCTCCCATTTATTTTCCATAAAAGCTAGGCTTTTGCCCTCCTGCCCAAGATTTGCTCTTTATTCCTTGATCTTTATCAGAAATCTCATAGACAGGCAGCAAACAGATGAAAAAACAAGACTGTGAAAACATAGAAGTGCATTGCTTTGAAATACTGCATTCTTGCACTATAGGTATTGCCAATAGYTTTGGCAGACGTGTGTATATGGAGACAATGTTCTTTGGAGAAAGGAACATGAGTTCTTGGATTTTAGGTTTCCCTTGACATTGGTGTGTGKCCTTGAGTAATGCTTCACTGGTGCTCAGCTTTCATGTGCCTAAAAGAGGATAACAATGTGTGCATGTCCTCATGGGCCTGTCTTTATCTGTCCAGACACCTGYGTGGTTCTTATCATGAGTAACATCTCAACACATGTACATGGTGTTTAAGATACATAAAGGTCTTTGTAATGCTACTTTGTAATGCAAGTCCAGTCATTTCTCTGCCCTTAAAAGAATGTTCTCTCCTCAAAGCTCGCCAAACAATTGTATTTAATAAAAAATAAACTTTTTCAAAGCCTATAATCAATAGAAAAAGAAATCCATTATATTTTAATTTTAAGAAATCCAAGAAAAACTATTTTACAAATAAGCATTCTACTGTAGAGGTCACAGTTTTATTAATGAACTGGAAYTTTCTGGAAACTCACTGTGAACAGTCTAACAATTTCACTTTCAAAGCTGAGAAATATTCAAGAAAAGGCAAAGATTATGTAAAGCAATTACCACATACATATTTTTTTACAATAATGTGCAGGATTTTCAAATGGTCCTTCCACAAAATAGATATGAAATCAATTTTGTTTTGGGTTTGGTTTGATTTCAATTGTGATCCAGAACGTAAATTCTAATATAAGAAAATGCATCATGAAAGTGCGAACAGGTCTGCGGTAGCCCACAGTACACATGGACTGTACACAGATTCATTTTTCTTAATTCAGCCTTCATYTTTGCTCTTCTCTTGGCACAAAAGGTGATTAAAATACATTTCTYCCTCTGGTTAATAAAAGGAGTATTCCATTGACTCATCTGCTTTATGTTAAATGTATGTATATGCATTGGCAGGATTGGGAACTAATCATCTTAGGACTGGGTTGCATATAAAGCTTGAAATCTAACAAGAATATTTGGTAGCATTGAATCAGGGTGAGAAAGGGATATTTTAATGTATGTCCTTCTGTTCATGTTATTCAGTTCATCAGCTGTCACTTGAAACTTTATGAGCCTTACCTTTGCCGTTTTCCCTCCCTTGATTCGTATCTTTCTTTCCCTTTTTTTCTCCAAATCAAGTAGAATTTTTTCACTATCTGGTTTGCTTTGGAACTTAGAAAATTCTGGCCAAAATTTAAACAGAAGAGCAAAAATACTCATCTGCGCAGAAAGAAAATAAAGTCAATCTTGACCGTATWAAGGAAACATTTTACTGTAAAATAAAATGCAGAATGAGATAACTATTTTTTTTGAACACACAGCCTTGTTCCTCCCACGTACTTTGTCCTGACATTTCAGCCCAGCTTTGCTCAGCACATGCTTTTCATCAGTGTGTTTATTACTGGTGAGAAATCTTCCTAAAACACAGTTAAAAGGCACTTTCTTTTTTTATATTTCCCTAAACAATTGTTTGCATTAATGAAAACATCCATCACTTTTTACAAGTATTCTTGAGAAAATATACACCAGTAGAATTGCTTTTGCACCACTGTTCTGCTCAAGTATTTAAAATATTCAGTTCATTAGGGAGAGGGCTTTTTTCCCCTCCTTAAGAGAAAGGAAATACTTTTTTGCCTCTGGAAAGGCTCTTAAACCACATTACAGATCTATGAGCAAATCTTGGATAATTTTTAAATGATATAATCTCTCACAGGGTCGTTTTTGAACTAGAATAAGAAAAACAATTTTAGAAAAGCAAACAGAGGGGCTCAGTGAATTCTGTTGCTGCACGTACTAAGGCTCACATTTTTCAATTTATTTAGATGTTTAATTCACATTGAGATTTGGCTTCAAAGGAGCCAAGCATGCTCAGCACCTCACTGCTTYTGGCTCAATAGGTTTGAAAGTGACATGTGAGTCACTGTCAAGTTTCAGTCTTTAGAACTTGACTGGCCTAGCTCTTCCTTTGGTTTTGTGCCACATTTCTAAGTTCACTGGGTTTTACACAGGCTGAAATRAGACTTCTCTTTGTCTTAGGACCTATATGAACCCTTTTCTCTGACAAATGAATTAATCTTTTGTCATCCAAACRCTTTATGGACTCACAATTGATGTCTAAAGGTGTCAGTGGCAATTTTATAGGAAAAGAAGAACAACTACTTTCTTGGACAGATAAGATAGACAAGGCAGTATCAAGGGATAAGAAAATAGTAAGGTAGTAAAGGTTCAAAAATTGCTATTCAACCTGATTAATAGAAAGATCAGAGAGAAAATTGCCTACAGCCATTTGATACACACTTTCTATAATAAAGAAATGAAAGACATTCAGCAGTTTAAGTTGTCTTTGTGCTTTACTCACATCTACATTTTTCACGAAACAAGAAAACCACAAAATCACTTCTCTGACATTAACCCAGTGATAAAGAACAAGGAATTAAGAACATAGACAGAATTAATTTCTACTGCCAGAATTCCTAACACAGACCTGGATAACACCTTTCCAGGATCAATTAGCTGACAGAGACTTTCTTTACTGAGCAGTGTATATTTGAAGCCTCTCTTTCATCTCCACCATCCGGTCTCATTGAAATACATGGCTATAGTATTCTCCTTCAAGCCCAGGCTTATGTCACATAAGCAAAAAAGATTACTCTTAAAATCAGACACACAGTCTCTAGCCAGACCTATTACAGAGATTCACGCAGCTTTTTACCTGTGCCTCTCTGAAAATGTAAGGTCCTAGTTCTTTCCTGTGCTCCACAATCTTCTTTGCTTGTTCAGGTGGGATGTCTATCTGCAAAGCTGGGGGTATGGCAGAATTAATAAAACAGTCAATAATAGCTGTGATCTTTTTCTGAACCAAGGCATCAGAGCAATGAGAATGGCACAAGTCCTGAAAGATGAAAAATAACATTTTCAGTCAATGGAGACAGACACAGGCAAGAACCTTTACAAGGGCCCAGTGATCAAAGAGCAATGGTCATACAAAAATAATTATGCAATAAATTCCTTCAGTATGTAGGGCAAAATTCTTTTGGTACATGTGCATGGTCAAAACCATACTTAAGACATGAATGGGCTTCTGATTTGCAAWTGCAGACACATAGCAATCATTGCTTTTAGGTGATAGTCTTCTGCTTGCATGTTCTGATGGAAGAGGGTAAGTTTTAAGTTTAAGTGCATAACTGGCAAATAGGAGACAAATCTGAAAAGAGAAAAACATCTAYAAATGTGAAATGCACTGATTTTCACAATGAGCCTGCTATGACTTGCATAGCCATGGTAATGAAAAGAAAAAGAAATGCTTTAAGTGCTCCAACAGAAGAGGGGAAATATTTAGAGGGTACAAGACATTCTAATCAGGAATGCTGTCACAAGAGGGGACAATTTCAGCTACCAGTACAATTTTCCATTTATTGAAATCTGTTACTTTCACCATTCACTAAGACTTTCTAGTTTTCCAAAACCTCAGGGTTTGAAATAACTCTGTGTATTATAGAATACAAAACAAACTTGAACTCAGAGGAGTGAGATGTCAAAGGAACACTGGAATCTTCTACTTTYTTAATGTGATCCTATTGTTCTTGTAAAATCTGTTATTACTGCATTTTGACACCCTGACAATGCCACCACTGGACATTGACATGAAGAAAAAATATTTTAAAGAATGTCCTGCCAACATTTTGAAACATGAACTTTCCCTCTATCCATATATATCAAGAAATTTGTGTAACACTAGGAGACTATCACGTCTCTACTAGATACATAATGAGCMCTCTAGAGTTTTCAAGAAGAGAGCTTTTTAAATGAAGAATCTGAATTTAGTTTTGGTATAAAAGGCTAGATATTTACTTTGCAAAGAAATTAAAACCATGGCTTTAAACCAGAAATGTGGTATGTGAAWGAGTTGGCCTGCTTTATTATGAATACTTTTAGTTTTGGAAAGGAAAAAAAAGAATGATAACAACTATAATAAAGAAAATAAGGCAAYGCAAAAACATATTTAACATATCCTAAGAATATATATTATGGCTTTCTTTTCTCATCTAGCATAGAAAGCAGAGAGCTGTAGTAAGAGGGAAGACAAACAAGCCATGTGATATGAAGAGAGATGAGATCGAGCGTAGATGAACAGATGGAAATGATCCACAGAGTTATGTTTCTTCATTTTTGTTTTAAAAGATTTTGGTTTTGGATTGTCCCAAGATGTGCCGCCAGCCTGATGGGTTATGAGGAGCGATGCAGTCATTGACTCCTAAAGGGAGTTCTCTCTAAACTGATGGCATGATAGGGCTCAGACAATACAAGTATGCACTGCACAGAGTGCTGCCCACGCCTTTGGCAATATTCCTGCAGTTCAGCCTGACCCACAACACTCCTACTGCTCCAGCCCTCTGCTTCTACAAAGAGCATCAACTGCCAACCATGACAAATCACATGCATGGAGAAATATGGTCAGATTGTACTTTTTCTWGATAACAAGACAAATAAAATTAACATAAATGGGGGGGGGGGGACGACAAAAAACAATAAAGGCTTTCTTCAGAGAACACTTCTACAAAAAGAAGAGTCTAGACTACATGACACATTAATTTGCAGAAAGTTTCCATGTCCTCCATAATGTAGCAACAAACAGTCACAAATCTGAACAAACTTCAAATACCTAGAAAAGGATTTATGCCATGGAACAGGTGCCTTCATACTGGGGGTTTTATCTAAGCTATTTCCCAAGAGAGAGACAGCAGCACCCCTAGAGAGCATTTCAGCCAGTGATTCCTTGCTTGGGGATCAGAGCCTTTGTGAGGAAGAGAGACTGACCTCTGGAAACARAGGAGCTTCACCTTCTAAAGCAGACACCAAATTCAAATTCATAAAATTAAACAGTGAAAATACACCCACATGCCTGCAGAGGATCTCCAAGTGCTACTGCTGCATTAACTGTGTTTACATCCCACTTTGTGAGCATGTTAGCTAATCTCACGCTCCCTGCCGGCCATGTGCACATAGGGTATGTTCAGGAGCCCAGGAGAGGTTCTGCACTCTGGTAGCACTTTTGCATCACGAATATCCTAGAGGCAAAGGGCATGAGGAACTCATGAAAGATCTGTGGTGTGCTTGCATTCAAGCCAGGGTGCTCCTGGGAGACTGAAATGTGATTTAAAGTTTCACTCCAGAGGTTTTCCATTGTGTTTCAACCCACACAGCCACGATTTCACAAAATTATATGTATTTGGAGGAGAAGTAATCCCTGCTGACCTTTCCCATTACATTTTGCTTTGGTCCCAAGCTCAGCTCAAGTCAAATTTGATTCTGCAAAGTGCAGGGGAGTGGGGGTCTGCATTGTACATACAGGTTTCTCAGGTAGATGCCATCTTTACATCTTTACATAGATCTGATTCAATTTAGAAGTAATTTCTGATTTTTGAGAAATTACCGAATTCAGGTAGCAGCTTTGAAGACAGAATGAATATTTTAATGTTTGCATATTTTCTACTGCTCAACAGATTTATACCAAACTATGGGCATTAGTGAGTTAGTAGGATTGTTTTAGAGACTCAGAAGAAGTTTGCAGTTTGAAGAAACTTTAAAAAATACAAGGATAATGCATTGGAGTCAAAAATAGCTATGCTTGAGAAGTAAGGATTTTCATTGAAGAAAAAAAAAACAGTTTAAACAGTGAAAGAGGCCTTACTATGAACAACAGAATGCCTGTAGATATTCTTGCTAAAATTCTCCTAATATGCAAGAATGGATGCATTTGCTTACAAATTGAATGCTCTTCCCTTTGCTCTGTTTTACCACGTACCTTATACTTTTGCACCTCTTGCCAAAAGAGCACTCCATTCCCCAGTAGGTCTCCTTTCAGTGACACAAAGCGTTGAAACAGATTTGCTGTCACTGGATCCAACAGTACTTTACGGAAAGCGATTACTTCACTAGATGAAGAAACACTCTTATTGTCCACATGCTGTCAAAAGAAGAAATAGATGCACGAAATAAACTTWGTTTCAAAAAGCAATAACAAAGGCATTAGTTAGTGTAAACTGTCTGATTCTTATCTTTGCACTGACCCTAACTKTCAGTAGTTTATGAGTTTATGACATGGATACAATAAAATGTGGCAAGACTTCATTTCTTCCTTTCCTTTTTTTTTTTCCCCAGTTTGGTTTGGGGAACATTTTTTGGAAAACGTGATGGGGGAGGAAATGACTGACAATGATTTAGACCATATGACAACACAAAGTATAGAAACAGCTATTGCTATTGATTATGACAACGGGCTACTTTTCTAGAGAACAGTTTGAGTTTTATGCAAACAAACAATAAAGAAAAAGGAACACACAAACCACATAGCTTAAAGTTGTAAAATGCCTCTGGCGGGGATCTCACCAACAAAATGAAATTTGAAATGTGTTGCCATGATCACCAACAGAAGCCAGAGAGTTTCCTCTCTGTGAAATAAAGCTACCAATAGTAAAATAGAATTCAAAGTCATCAAGACATATTGGAAATCCTCATGCTKCCAAGCACAGAGCAGTAGGCAGCCAGGAATGGGTGGAGAAAGAAAGATGGCTTATGCAGGGACAGTTTATTTGAACTGAAGTTCATGCTGGCCTACCTTCCTGAACAAACAGTTCTTGTGCTGTTGCTGAGGAGCAAGGCAAACAACCCCCTTTTGTTATCAGATAGATGAATGAAAACCATMTTCTAAAAATGGTTTAAAACTCTTKWAGTCCTGGAGGGGTGGAGTGCTGTTCAATGGTGAGCGTGGGACAGAAACATTTTTCGTTGTTGCCAACAGTCCTGGAAATCTAACCTGATCTTAAACTGAAAGGGTTTCTGCAGCTTATCTTAAAAACAGGGGTTATTTTCAGTGTCCTGTTGCASAGCCTGCCAGGGGTGAGAGCCTACCCTGGTGAGAAGGAGGTGGTAGTTGTGTAGAGGGTCCTTTGGTTTAAATAATGTCGGCTCAATTTAGGCTGTTGGATCTTCTCAGCCCTTGTCCAATTCTCCAAACATGTTCTATTCCCTGTGACCAAGATTTAGGGAACTTYTGGGAAAAATTATTTCTAGGGCATATTCATGAAGGGAAAAACAAAAAGTTGCTTCTATCCCTATACCAATTTTTAACCCTGCTTATTTTATGAGTCAACAACCTTGAAATAGAAAACAAAAAATAACCATCTTCCTGACAAACAGAGAAAGGGAAAAAGTCAGTTACAGAATCCACATGCACTTTGGATCCCTTCTGTGCTGATGGTTTGCATGGATAATTGGTGACCGGGTCTCYAGTTTGATTTCAACAGACAATAAAAGTTCAACTGAACAAATGTACACAACTTGTATGTTGGCAACCACAAAGAGTTCACTGCTCTTCAAGAGGAAAAAACTGGCAAACATCTGATGAAATGTATTATTACAAAGGTTTAAGAAGTTTAAATTTGATACTATCTCAGTGTTGTGAGATTAAAATACAATTCTAAATGAAACAGATACTGTGAGATATGATTAAACCTGCCCACTCCACTGCATATTTCACATTCCCTTTTGGGTCTGCACGTAATCCACTTGCAATAATAAATAAACTACCAGATGCTGGAATGAACAGCTTGTCCAAATAAGTCCTGCATGCAAAATACAGACAAATGTGAATTAAAGGTACTATATCAGCTTGAGGAGTGTTAATAGTGCTCCAAAGCCCAGGACAAGAGACCTTTTCTTTCAAGTTTGACCTCTCCAGACAGAAAGGGAGAGAAATTTACCATGAGCACCCAGCAGGGAGCTAAATTCAGGAGTAATGTGAGTAATCAGTCCACAGTAACCAGCGCAACCATGACTGCTTTTAACAGCATTACATTTGAGCCTCACACTGTCAACAGGGAAATTATGAAGAATATGCAAGATCCAAATGAAAAAGACCATGGAACTGCAGACACAAGAGACACAGTAAATTTCATTTGCCTTCCACATCCCAGTTGTCTTTTGCTGGTCTTTGCATGAAAAAGTCTTCAGTTATGTCCCTTACCTATGGCTGAACAAAAGACTATTCTTTTATTTTTAAAATATTCTTGTTTCTTGTTCAGGCCTCTAATGATTAAGACCACAGTGGTAGAATAGTTCATATGTCTTCTTCTGGATTTTATGTCTAAAACTTCTTGTTGACCTGCACAGAATGCCATTCCTTCTTCAGCTATAAATGAGCACCTGCTCATTAAGACTGGGGAATTAGAGAAAACAAGAGGCAACAGCAGTCAAACTGTTCACTACACTGGTTTWCTTTACCCAGAATGTTCTGAGGGACCACTTATGTGAGGAATAAATTTTGGGTTTGATTTTGCTTTAGTATAAGAGTATAAGTTGCTGTAGTGTAAGAGTTTAAGTATAAGTTTTTAGTTCCTTTAGACAGCTGTATCAGAAATACAGACTTGATCCTGCAACTTCTTTGTCCCAAAATTACACCTCAAATCAAGGGCAGGTTTTCTGAATAAGGACTACATAGCATGCCCTCACTGTTTTGTCACTGTGAAATATGAAGCCAGTGGAGAATGTCATCTGGTTTCACTTCTTCTAAAATACTTYCTTCAAAGAACCTTTTCATCCTCTGAATTTTCAATAAGAAAAAGAAAAGAGCAATCAGACATAAAYGGAGTTAGGAAAAGACTAAAAGCTCATTAGAAGTATGTATTTCCTGTAAACTGTTTATTTGAGTTGAATACTGCATTTTCTAAACTACTTGGGCTAGCTAATCTCCCTGCCAGCAGGTGCAAAAAGAGGCATGAGTTAGCTTCCAGACCTGGAAKCAGCTTAGCCTTATTGCCTGGTCTTGTGCCAGGGCTTGTAAAGGAGGCAGAGTTCAGAAAAAAAAAAATGGCAGAGGGTTAGATTTTAAAATTTAATTAACATAATCATTATTAAAATTATAATTTATCTTATCGGAACCTATACTTTTCAAATTGCTTAGTGCTGTGAATCAATGGAGAGGATTCAGTTTATATGCATGGCTGACAACACTTCCAACAGCCTTCTTGATGTTATAAAGATGAYAGAAAACAAGTTTTATGAATCAGTGCAGATGCATATGTGTCTGCTTGGTGGAACTGTGAAGTTTCCTTCTGCTATGACATTCACATGTTAGAGCTATTGTGGAAGTGCCAAGTCTCTGCATCTGTCAGCAGCAGGATGATCCCCTTTACATAGATCACAGCCATGCAGGCACTCATAAAAGGCAGGTGCTAGCTCTGCCCATTCCCCAGTCTTTCTAATGAACCAGCAGAAGTGAAAGRGTCCTCACTCCCAGTGTTTTGGCAACTTTCTGAAGTAATCAATTGGAATAAWGCTTGTAGCAGTTAACCTCTCCACTTAGCAGAATTTCACAGGTCCTGAAGAGGTTTCTACAGGCATTGCAGCTCCAGAKGGGAGAATGCAGACAGCAGAAGAGAAGGAATTATGGCATGGGAAGCCCACTCATTTGCTTGTGTTCTGATGCCCTTGCCAAATCCTTTACACAAAGTAGTATTTCTTCAGAGGGCAACTGTGTGCCTAAGGCAAAAGGGCATAGGAAGAGTGTAGCACTACAACAACGATAAGCTCACTCCTGGCAGCCTGGATGGCAGCAGAGCTAACACCAGCTCCTTCAGATTTAGGAWCTAACAATAACACTGTCAGCTAAACTAAGCCTTCAGATGAACTTTGTATTCACACTTACCAAAACAAATGTTTCAACCTGTACMTACTACAGCATCTCTTTCAATGTAAACTGAAAGTAAGTTGTGGGTTGCTTTTCCTCTGAACCTTTTTGTCCCAATGGTAAATTATGAGCCAAACGAAAAACAATGCCTGTATGTGTTGCTGTTGTTAAAAAATTACCTTTGCTCGTCTCTCCACCTCACGCTGTTCATCTGCCAGGAACAATGGCAACCATTGTTCTTCTAATCTCTTCTGGACGCATTGCTGAACTTCTAGCAGAACCTCTGCCGAAAGCTGATCATCAAGGATTTGTCTCTTTCCTCCACCTGAAGGCATTAGCTAAGCAATTCAAATACAATAACACATGACATAAACTTTTGTGTATACCAAAAGTCCTTTATCTCTCTACATCCTTGATTTAGCAAAGCATGAGCTTAACTGTAAGCAAAGCACTTAATGCATGCTTACCCAAGGCTCACATGTACTTTTCATAAAAGGGAACAGATTACATTTGTCCCTACCTATAATAGGATACAGACTCTGGCAAATAATACCCCAGCTTGACCAAGTAAATTGCCTAAGTATCAAGATATATCAGAGTACCACAGCTCAGACTTGCTGTCTGTGGCTTTACTGGCATACTAAAATAGAAAGCTGGAACAAGTCACTGTGCCAGAAAGTCATTTTTACACTTTTCTRAGCTGTCTTGTGCATGCTCTGGCCTGGACTCAGATCACAGTTTAAGAGAGATGTTCTGTAARGGGTAGAGAGGAAAAGCCTGAACTGGAAGGAAGGGACCCATACAATCAGAACAGAAGCAGATTTCTGGCTAAAAATACAGGTAGAGTTTAGGGAGATAGCTTGGGGAAAAGYTGGAGCAAACCCACTGGATTTTAATCTCAGTTACATTCACAGTGATTGCTCTTCATGAATGGTTTTGTAACTGCTACCTTTTCTTGTTGATCTGGAGTAGCTGGGCTGTTGGGTCCAAAGAAGTATTTTTTATTTAGGTACTTGTTTTTAATGTCCTTTGATTTTTCATCACTTTTTTCTTTATCCTCGTGGAGCATCTTTCTGAACTCTTCRATGTCTAGCCAGCACATGAGATCCATGCTACAAACAAATTTAAACAGAATGCTATATCAATATTGAGTTAATTTCATCAACATTCTAGGGAGTCATTAGTTTAACCACATGCCACCAAAGCGTCAAGACCAAAATACCAGGTCAGATTGGGCTGGAATTTTATGTCATTTTTTTCTTTGCAAGTACCATCTGCTGARACCATGGCACTTGCTGAACAGGCAGATCAAACATACATCTTAGAGATCTCACTTAGGGTGCCRTCTGGGGTACCCTGGAAGGAGTAACCTCCTCAATATGTCACTGCTAAATCCAGCAGGGACTGTGAACCAGAACCATAGTGCAGAGCTCACAGAGAGAATGAAAAATGAAACAGATGAAAATTTGAATCAGTACAGAGGCTGTGAGCYGCTGAGAGACGAGTTGATGCCTCCTGCTCTGCCTCCTTGTTATATTGCCTGAGAAAGGAGCAGGGATGACAGCTGGGTACATCAGCCAAGAAATCACCCCCTTCCTGCCCTGTGTGAAGTGCTAGAGTTTAAAGTCAGTCTGCAGTTAACCAGATAAAACCAATTAATGGTAAAATTTGTTTCTAGGGCTTTTTGTGGGCTGCTTTCTCATAAATTATCAATTCTACTACTTATTTCATTAGTAATAGTCAGTGACAAATAATTTCAATTACACAATTCTCAATCTAAATATTGTTCATATATTTGAGTGTATACTATAMATTTAAGTTTGTTTTCATAGAATCATAGAATGGTTTTGTTCTTTAAACCAGATGACAGACTAAATGGCATATCTACAATTTGGTTTAATTTATATGACTGTTTTCTGACGGTATCTTATTAGATAAAGTTCTGTGASCATTTTAGTGAGTACATTCACTGTATTTGCAGCAGAAAATATGAAACATTGAATTCAGACAAATCTGTTTCAGTTTTCCATTTTGTTAATAAGTGGCTTTTTCAAAACATTAATCTATGAGTAAAACTTTCAAAAGCATCTGACTGATTTAAGAACAGATGTTCTCCTTTCAGAAGTCTTTTGAGACCCTTACAGACCTAAGTTCTTTTGAGACTGAAATTCTTTCATTTGCTAGTTCATCACAAATGCAAGTGATCCAAGTTACTGTGGTTTATGGAGTAACTCCTTGGCATCTACCTATGACAACTGACCAAATACGTGCATCTTACTTTAAAAGTAAAATCTGTAACCTTCAAAYGAGTAAGATAAACCATTTAGTGGTGGCTGATCCTGGCAAACTGCACTTTTCCCTTTCAGTGGATCAGGAGCACATCCATTGTCAATTAGCCTATCGGGACTAACAAGAGATAATTCACTAACCTGAAGTAATACAAATTGTCCTRCAATGGTGTACATATATCCAGTATATTTAATGAAGTATTAATTAATGGAGCTTTGTTTAATTTCTTACCAGAATTTGTGTGCAGRTACTCAGCAGCCTGTCCTTCCTGAAACTTGGATCACTTACAACTGGACATTATCAGAACCGTAAGTTTTGATGAAGACGCAAATGACGCATTTGTGGTTTTTTTTCGGAAGTTTTCCAGGCTGCATTACTTCTAGGATCCCTTCAGATTATAGTACCATTTAACACCTTTATTGTACCGTGCCAGCTGGACTCCAGAGTAACGAGGCTGGACCCAGCCCTAAAATACTTCTGTGAGACTTTTTCAAATATCTTTCTTCATTATGAATTTTTACAAAAAGATTTTTTTTAATGCTCCATAAAATAATTATTTCTCTGCCTAGCTTTACCACTTAGGATGGGACTTGCCTGTGATTAACAAAGMAGCAGAGAATACCAAAGGCAATTCAGCATACCTGTCCAGGACCTGYTAACTGCTGATTCCTACCATTTCCCCAGTTAGAGAAGAACTCAAGACCAGTGGTCTCCCAACTGCAGGGGTGCACAAGACCATTTGTTGAGAGGCAGAAGGAAAATATTAAAAATGTAGTAGCACATGTATATAATGTATAGAAATTTATATATATGTATGTATGTATGTGTGTATAWAWATGTATAAYATGTATACATACTAGGGCTCCATGCTCAAAAAGCTTTTATTGATGAGATGCATGAACAAAACAGTTTGGAGACCACCATTCTAAACAACTAACTCAGAAGTCACTTGGCTATAGGCACCTACAGCATGTGAATATCCATCTGAAAGCATCACCTGCAGTCCTTTTGTAGTCAGTAAGAAGAAATAACTGTCTTAGGAATGATCCATCCAAATCGGTTTTAGATGTTACCTTCAGAATTAGGAGTATTGTGTCCASAAGTATTTCTCTCTCTGACTACAAAGGGAACATATGTGACAATAAACAGAAGTGATGATACTGCATTTTGGCCAGAGGAGTTTTGTGCCAGATTCCCCTTTCTGGGCACTTTTGAAAAAGCTGACCAATATCCAGTATAAAGCTATAGCAGTGCTTGACTAGACGCAATAGACAATATGCAAAGCATCAACTCATGGGAATGCCRATTAAAGGAAGGAAGTGACAATTTAAGGACAAAAAAAAAAAGTGTCAACTTCTGTTTAGATCTTACCTTTTAAACAGTCTCATTTTTTTCAAAGAGCCTGCCTAAGACTCTATCTGCTACAATCTAGTACTTAAAACTGTTCTGCAAACACAAAACTGAGGTTGCTGTCACACTGTGAGAATAACATGCCTGTTTTCTATTTGTACATTTTTAGAATAACCAGGTTTAATTTTAAAAATGTACTAAATTGAATCTGTACTAAAAAAAGAGAAAATTTTACTCATTATAGCCTAATTGTTCTACTCAGGGGTTTGCCACWAATCAAAGCAGAAACTGAAAGCAGAACTGTAATACAAATATGTTTTGACAGGAGAATTTTTACCCCAAAAATGTTAAGACAATTCAGTTGTCTGAACAATATGCGTGTGTATTTCATAAATATGCAAACACATTTTTAAAAAGACTAAAATCTGTCAAAATTATAAATAGCCAATATGTTCAGSAAAGATTTCTTGTGAATTTAGAAACAGGTAAAATAACAATAATGAAGAAACGTACCCAGCAGAATGCTCATTAAGAAAAGCCCAGAACCGTTCCAACTTCTCTTTGTCACGGATCAGGTCAGACAGATTAGAACCTGCCAATTCTTTGGGAACTTGATKCAAGTCCTGATCTTCTTTGAGAGCCCCAGCGTCGGCAACAGTACTCTGAGGGTAGAAATTATTTTTCTTGCATAACTGCTTTTTTCACCTCTGTATTTTGCTCAGTCTAATAATCCTTGCATTAGATACCCTGTCTCTGTAAAATAGCTTTTTGATTGCTGAGAAAATAAATTGAGTTAAGGCTCCAGCTCCTAGTAAGCTTTACTGTTATGTTTTCTTTAAACATATCAGTGTGTGCAGGTTCCATAATCAAATAATCAAATATATACCTGTAATTCACTTGAAATGGAAATATTTACTGGAGAGTAGGGGCCCAAAAYACATTCCACGGACTTTAATTTGTAATTGACTTCTGTCAATCACACCAACAACTGATGTTGATGTAATTAACAAAAGACCTGTATGTCTGATTAACACAATGGCTGTTAATCAGTCCCCAAAATGAATGGTAGAAATCCGACTATTTGCTCTTCTCAACTAGCATCTGGTCAGTCTTTCATTGCTGATACTCAAAGTGTTAACCCTCTCTGATAAAGARAGGGTTTGTTTTTGTTAATAGGTACTAGTCTTACCTCATCCTTCTTGGAACTACTCACTTGATGCAAAGCCTGGAGCTTTCTTAAGTACACGGAGTCCAGCTGTTGAGTTTCTTCCACCAACTCCACCTAATAAAAATAATATCTTATATCACCCCTACAGTACACGTTATAGAAAGATGAAGAACTACATGGGCACTTCGCCAGTGACAGTGGATAGAAAAGAATACTTTGCCAGTTATGAGACTGATGTTTAGAAGAGACAAAAAGTCACATTCTTGTGACAAACAATTSTGTTAAAAGCTGTGGTAGAACAAACTTTTTCCATCTGTTGTAGGAACAGATGTAGATTTCTACAGAATACCACTAAATAACCTAACTATATCTTTAAGCAAATAACTTTGTATTAAAAAAATGCTAAATTATACTGCATACATAATATATTGTGTGTATTGGATCAGACCTACCTCATTGCCTATACCAGSAAATTGAATGTCAAAGCACCACTGWGAAGCAGAAAAACAGTTCTTAAAACYAGGAYTCTCAATGGGAAATGTCAAAAAGGCAGAATRCCACAGATTTGGAGAAACAGAAATTTAAAATGAGAAAGATGTTAAAATATCTAAACAATGAAGGTGAAAGCTTTCYGACTTTCAGTCCTACCTCCTTCTTTAAAAAATTAACTGTGTGTGATTTGAATTCATGAAGTATCGGCATTTTTTAACTTAATTAGAAGCTGCACGTATGTAACTGGAGCAGTTCTTTATGTTACGCACAAACAATCAGCAACTGCACAAGAGATATTTGGTGGCTCTCCTGACTGACTAAACCATTTGAATGCAGATTTTAGGATATTTAGCAAAATCCAGCCAATGAGTTATACTGATTTGCATGTCCATTACGAAGATTAGAAAGCTTAATTATCTTATACAAATGTTTATATTTAGCTTAATATTCCTTACGCTTTCATCTATAAGTGAATACCTCACTAATCACAGTGTTACCTCAATGTCGTCAAGCTCCGTGTAACTTTATTACAATGTTACAAAGTGCTTTGGRCTATTCTTTCCCTTAAAAAAACCCATAGTTTAAAAGTAAACACTAAAATAATTCAGAACATTTTTCATAAAGTTTAAAGAGAAAGTAGAGAGAGGCAGGATGAGAATCAACAGTAAAAAGAAACTCTCCTGATTTCATGTTTCATTAAAAAAAAAAAAAAAAAAAAGTATATATATATATAAGGAACGTGTCCCAAATACACAATTTTGGAATCACCTAAATCTTGATAAAATACCTTGTTTCATAATGGGCCAAATATATCCTCCTATAGAGTAGAACAAAGGGGAAGAAGAGAGCCAGGGACTGAAAAAAATACAAAGCAGACCTTGTCTTTGTGCTTGGGGGAGAGYGTGCCTAAGTATCAGCCTGCACCTAGAGACTTTAGTGCGTCCTAGAACAGGTCGTTTTATGTCTGTGTATTATAACTCTTCACAAATGCATGTATTGTGCAGTCAAAAGGATTTAGGTGTGTTTTGGTGCTCTGATTAAGATGTTTGTGTTATTAGAGCACTGAGAAGTTTGCACGTAACTACACTTGCAAAGCAACACATCCTCTAAACTGAAAGGACAATAGATTATCCTGTGTTAACTCAAGGAGATATAAACTGACACACATATTAACTAAAAGGAAAAGTGTATCACTCCAATTCTTACTCTGGAGGAATCTTTTCATTACTAGAAGCAGTGAAAATACAGTATTCAGAGAGCTTAAAAGCAGACTCCTTTCTATGGAAAAATGATGTATAAAACCCCTCGGCTGTGCTGACTCAGTGAGGACTGGCAATAGACATGGGACTAGTATGGACAGTGCACACGGAAAACACACAGTTACAAAAGACTAAAATCAGTCCCATAGAAAGTAAATAAAATCTCAGATTCATGAAAACAATCAATCAATTCCAAGGTGCACTGCAGGTCACAAAGAATTATAGCTGAAATATTATAGGAAAATAATTTATCTGAAAGGTTAGAAAATATRTTGAAAAGCAAAGAAAATATTTTACAGATGTGTTTGGATTAGTATATTTCATTTTAYTATGTTTTTCAAACTTTTTCAAAGTTTCTGAAGGATATTACGTTATCACAGGATGAGAGGGAAAGTCCCTTTGTGAATTAATTAGAAGGTAGAAAATCAAAACCAAAGAAATAAATAACTTTCATTATGGGGTGGGGTTCCTATTGGAGTCTCACAGGGATCTGCACTGAAGTTGTTTTTTAAACATTCAGAAACTATCTGGAAAAGGAGGTGACTGAGGACACAACAAAGTTTGCAAAATGATTCCACAGAACAARAAATTAAATTGACTGTGAAAAGCTGCAGGATATCAGGACACTTTACCATCTGCATGATAAAAGGCCAGCTGAATTCAAYGATAATAAACATTAAGTCATTCCAGTGAGCTCCAAATTAGGGCTTTCCATTAGTAGTTATTACTTGGGAAAGAAATCTTGGAGTCATTGCAGATGGCTATTAGCTTACATTTTGCAAATCCACTCGAAGTTCACCAGGAGTCAAAAGGTAATTAGAATGATAGGAACAATTAGAAATGGAACAAAGAGCACAACAGAAAACATGGTTCTGCCACTGGATAATCCTTAGTGCATCCAGACTTTGAGTACTGCTTGCATGTCATCGAATATAAAAAAAACATACAGATGGGGCAAGAAGTGCAACAAAGGAATGGAATATCTGTTGGAGGAGAGGTCAAAGTGTCTAGGATTCTTGAGTTTCAAGGAGATCAAACTGAACCAAAATACAACAGAAATGTGTAAAAGCATGAGAACATGGAGAATAGGACAAGATGACAATTGGTCACTTGTTCCTGATACAAAACTAGGGYACCAGGTAAAATTATCAGGGAAGGGTTTGCAAACAAATCAAGACMGGCATTTTTTTCTCTTATTGCATGACTAAGCCATGAAACTCACTTATACAGTGAGGCTGAAGATATATCACTCACAAWACAAGTTACAGAAACCCATGGGGGAGAAAGAATTCATCAAAGACTATTCAAATCAAAAATGTGGATAAATCCTCTGTTCCATGAGCTTCCTTAGCTGCAAAGTGCTAAATATGGCTGTATGTTTCTTTTCTGTTCTTATATTCTGTTCTTAAATGTTCGTTACTGGCTACCACCTAATAGGCTTAGAAGATTACTCTCAACTTTGATTTTAGGTATCTGTTCACCTAGTAGTTCTTACATGCCTGCATGCATGTAATAGAACCAAACAAGTACTACAAAACTTTTGCAAAAGGATTTAAAAATATTTTGCAGGGGGCAATGTGGGCATATTATTACAAGCTGATGGAAGAATCAGCAATAAGTGGTATTTCCTATAAACTGCAGATGCCTCATCTAAGGTCATARTGAAGAAAAACAGGAAGAACCARCTTCTTGCCCTCCTGATTCCCCACTGTAAGTTTCTCCTTCCATATCCAAGAGAGGGATGCTAAACACTTGAAATGAGAATTAGAGAATCATAGAATATCCTGAGTTAGAAGGGACCTAACAAGGATCATTGAGTCCAACTCCTGACCCTGAACAGCACCATCCCCAAGAGTCACACCATGTGCCCAAGCATATAGTACAAATGCTTCTTAAACTCTGTCAAGCGTGGTGCTATGATCACTTCTCTGCGAGCTGTTCAGAGCCCAGCCACCCTCTGGCTGAAGAACCTTTTCCTGTTATCCAACCTAAACCTCCCGTGACATAACTTCAGGCCATTCCCTTGGGTCCTGYCACTGGGCACCACAGAGAAGAGACCAGTGCCTGTAAACCGCTTTGTCTCCCCTCAGTCTCTTCCCCTCCAGGCTGAACAAGTGATCTCAATCACTCCTCCTAGGCTTCCCCTCAAGGCTCTTCACCATTTTCATAGCCCTCCTGTGGACACTTCCAGTAGCTTTGTATCCTTCTCATATAGTGACACCCAGAAGGAGTTTGACCTGCAGCTCTGACTCACTTATTTAGAATAGCAATATAAAAAGTGTTTGGGACAAATACAGCTGGATGACCATTTTACATTTCCTCTATGCTAAGCAATAGCTGCACTTTAATTGTAGACACCAGAAATACCTACTACTACTGCACTGACACTAGAAAACCACCTTGCTATGTGATTTTCATTAAAAATACAGACTGCTTGTGGGCAACCCATCATAAAAAAAATTACTTGTGATAATGGTATGACTGCAGAAACATGAAACTTCCTGAATGTAAAGAGAAGTCTTACCATACCAAGATGTGTTCCTCCCTAATTCACAGGCCAAGGAGTCTATGAAGCCCACACCTTCCTTTCAGATGAGAAGTCTGCTCTCCACAAGAAGCTCAGCCCATTTCCACTTATCRGGACAGAAAGGAGTAAGTAAAACATGTTGTAATACTTCTCCCTGCCTGACTATAAATATAACAGGGTTGCATATGAATGTTCTTGCAATTTTCTTCCCTGAAATAGGAATTTTTCATGGTGTCATTGAGGTATTACCTTCCCGTAAGCATATTTGTCTGCTTCTACCATCTTCATCCACGGTTCCAGCAGAATAGTGAGGACATGTTCTTCTGCTGGGTCAAAAAGGTCCTCAAAGGCTGGGTCAATTTTCTGATAAATAATATTTTTCTTATCCTGATGAAGTCCAATGTCCATACTGGCAGATGGAGCAATGTAAGTCGCATAAAGGAACTAAAATAAAACAGAAAAAAACTGTTTCTTAGGCATCATCCATTTCAGTCGTCACAGACCCCCAAAGGAGAAAATCAATTGCATATATAAATATGCATATTTGTCCCCCACTGCCCTGCTGTATGTTCTGAACATATATATAATTACTRTCTTATTTTTACTAGTATTAGTCCTTTGTCCAAAATCCAGTTATTGATATAATGGATTTCCTTGCCATTTTTACTATTAATTGTTAAAATGGTTCAATCACAAAGTAATGCTTAATGCAATTTCTCTTGCATATATTTTGCTAATATTTAGATTCAGTTAACTGCAGTTATTATAACAATTGCACTCTTCATGAAGTCACACTTTTGTTTTGCAGAATATATGCTGGCCCAATTAGTGAAGGTATCTTACTTAGAAGTCTAAGAGATGTACTTCTTAAATTTGAGGTTGAAAGTAATGAAAATTGATACTATTTCATTTTGTGTGGAGGTTCTCTTATACAGATTTTTGACACTGGTGAGATTTTTATTGTAGAACAGGATCTGGAYAGGAGATGCCATCACATAACTAAGATCTAAGCCCTTACCAAAKCAAGAATTACAATATACTTCTTATCTGAAGCACACAGAGTTTGCCATTCAACATGTACAGAGCAGAAAACTGAACCTGGAGAATGCTTCCTTCTCCCTAAGAGCTCATTCTTGAAGCAAACAGTCTTAATGTTTCTATTTATTTCAATTTTTTTCATACAGTCCCTGATGAAAGTTCTTGTTTTCTAAATGTTTCAYAAATGATGCTATGAAAATGAGCATCAAAACCTCAGGGTAAAAGAAGTTTTTCCCAGGAATATCTTGGAAGAGTATATTCCAGAATATCTTTCTAGAACTTCATGATTCTGACTGCAGCTAGGAACTCATGAGAAAAAAGATGCTGCCAAAATATATTTCATATACTTATAAATATTTTCTCTTCCTCATATTGTTAAAGTCTAACTGAATTTCAAACATACAGTCAGGGATGAGATTAGTAGCGTAAATCAGAATTTCTCTCTAGGATAGCACTGACAAGTCCATTTTCATTATTTATTATCACAAAGGTTTGATAATGAAGAATTCATGATTCCAATAATTCTCTTTCTCCCTATGCTGCTAAAATCCATCTGTAACTAGCAGATGTACAGAGTAATAGAAGAGAAGAAAATAATACATTTACTCTGTGTTTAAGCTGTAATAAAACACTGGTGTGCTTAGATTTCAAGCACAAGGGGAGAATGAGTACATTAAATAACTATGTTTCTGTTTGTTTAAAATGAAATGCTGATTTATTAGACTCTTTCTTTCAAACAGTAACAGTGAAAGAGTATATCCCCATTATTTTGGACCATTAAAATTTGAAATAAACCCTTTAGATTCTCCTGGTATTAGGTCACTGAGGAATATAGGGCTACAATGGCTGACAGTCATCCACCASTTAGCTCTTGTTATGATTACTCTATTTATTGTGTATGCAGGATTCTTCACTCTTTCTTCATTTCTACATTTTCACTGGAAACAAAGATGGTTTATGCCTACTATGGTCCATGTTATCAGTGCAATAATGATATGCAAGTGCAAGGTGTAAGGTGAGAGAAAGAGGATATCCATAGGGGGAGTCCTAGCTGAAAACAAGACTGCATTTATCCTAAATTAAATTCTTCTCAGTAAATCCCTAAGTACATTGAAATTTAACAGCTTTAATTAGATTTCAAAAGTTGAAAGCTATTTTGAAGAGCTCTAACATTAGGAAAGTTTCAGTTAAATCATGTTAAGTCTGATCCAAAACATTTAATGCATAAAATTAGCCAAATTAGAAGGGACAAGTCCAATTACACAAAGATGTAATATCTTAAAAATGKTTTTTTTAAAGAGGGGCTAACCATTTCAGTTGTCATTAGGACTACATTGCTCCGCCTGTTATGACTTAACACACACGRGATCTGTAAATTGGTAAACAGCTTCAAAAGGAGGTCCTCAATATTTTAGCACAAATTAACCTGTTCCTTAAATGAGTGGTCATGTGAGCATAGTTTTAAGAATAAAATAAAAACAAACACACCACTAGTTTCTTGGGTGCAATTCCTTTCCTTATGATTTTGTACAAAATAGGTTAACTTGAGTATATTTGCTACTCTTCTTTAGAACTGGCAAAAAATCTCAGCCTATCCAGCCAGAAATTGCCCAGACTAAGGAACTGTTGACCAAAAGCTATTGACAATCTGCTCACATAAACATTGTTGTAAGATAGTGGACTACCTTTAGGGACTGCCTTTGCAGGCTGCTCTACCTGCAGAACCGCCCCCAGTTCTCTATAATTTTTCGTGCAAAACCAGAACATAGTAAAGATGGCTATTTTTCTCCAGAACCAATAGTTAGGCCTGGCAATACACATGAAGCAAAAATTCAGAGGTGGTTAAGCTAGCTAGAGGAATGCATTTTTCCAAACTCAAACAATCAGACCTCAGTGGTATTATCATTACAGCCTCTTCACTTTTGAAGGATGCATATTTACGGTGTCTGAGGATTTGGCATCTTATTACTTGAATTCTTGTAAGAATCAAGTGATATGGGATTTGACCAAGTAGCTGAACACATGCACTTGCAGATGGGAGGGAAATGAGAAGCTTTCATTCCTGCATCCCTTGCACAGGTTTGAAATGCATTTGTAGAACTGCACAGATTTGATTACAAGAACTGCAGGAAAACTGAGAAGAGTTCTAGATATGTCAAAAAAGAGGAAAAATGACCATGTTCACAGCCTTCAACAATGCAGTTTGCAAGACACATTTTATAAAAAATAATAATCATAGCTTTTTTTACTCCCATGTCATGGAATTCTTGAGGTTTTCTCATTTTCAGTGGAATATTGAAACTGTTATATTGGTCAGTCTCCTAAGTGATCAACAGGAAAAATTWCATTAAATGAACTTACAGGTTAACAAATTCATACAAAAATCTGAAGCATATGACATCAAGTGTGTATCAAACTTTGTTAATTCATCGTTTTACTCCTATTTACAAACACAAGAATTTTTCTACCTGCCAGCTATAAATTTTCCTATAACTGTAAATATGTAATGGATTGAACCCAATACCTTATCTGGAAATTTGGTCAGTTTGCATATTGGAATTACTTACAATCACGTAAACTTGATTATACAAAATGCTTAGAAAATACAGATTAAGACTGGCCTCATTTATGACTTTCCAAATCAGGGATTGTACAGGCCTTGGATTTTGGTGTGAATTCATTCCCASATGAGAAGGCTTTGATAAGCAATTTCAGAATGACTGAAGTGAAGCAAGAAATGCGAGAAAGATTTAAGTCCAAGAGCTTTGTACTGCTGCCCAAAGCCATGGATATTGTTCTGATCTAAATGAGGGGCTTGTGCAGCTGCTTGGCAGAATCAGATGATGGAAGAATGCAATGCACTGGCTGGTCTTAAACAGAAAAACTAAACTGCTTAACCTCCATCATAATTTCCCACTAACATAAGTCTTGTGTCTGACCCTAAAAGTTCACAGTAATGAGGACTTCCTTTACGTAAATTGATTCTAGCATTAAAATATTGTACTTCCCATAATTGTATTAAATTCCTAATTTTAAATAACTTTTTTTTWAAATTAAAACCCAATATTATACATTTCTTTATTTATTTTATTTTCAAATGTTTTACACTCCTGTATGTATGTTTACAGTGAATAACCATATATGTTCTGGATGATTACTGGTACTTGTCATTATTTTTATTCATCAGATTTCATTCTTTCTGTAGTTTCTTTCCCGGGGTGAATGCATACGTATCTTGGAAACCATTCTATTATTCTATCATAAAGCTGAGATAACAATGCCTAACCAATGACACAATGAGTAGCAGATACACAGCAATCAAGGTTTGATCTTGTTTCTAACAGGAAGCAGGCAGCACACATATGGAATTCTCATTGCATGTCTCTCTCTGCATGTTTCTTTCTGTAATAAATAGTAAAATATATATGACTGTGTCATGCCAATCTGATTCACATTCTCTTAGGAGTATTTGGAGTGACTGTTTTCTTGTGCCAAAGGTGAGTGCAGCATTTGGGAAGGCATCCCTTCCGTAAGCAGACTCTGYAGATTGGCTGCAGCTTGACTCTTAACCATGTTCCAATGAAAACAAGTATAATTTTTCTGCAACCTTAAAAGGCAAGCTTGAGAATGATACCAAATGTTGCAGCACATGTGTTGATTTGTTATGTTACATTTCAGCTGTTACTTATGCTAATGGAACAATTTCACATATTTCGTTTTGATGTATTTACTTTAATGGCTATGTGTATGTACTATCTGCAACTGCCTGGTAACACTGATTGTACGATGTTCTGCTGTCACCACCAGGCCAACACTGGAAATAAGATTAGGAAGAAAGAYCTGGGCCTTACATTTTCAGCCAGGCAACCACTGCATAAAGAATCTAAACTGGTGTGAAATGAAACCAAAATTAAAACTACCAGGGACCATAAGCTAAGCTTTGGCCTGCAACAAAACACACAGGAAAATGGTGACACAGACTAGATATGATCAACTTGCATATCTGCTGTGAGGAAGTCCCCAGCCACACACAGGCCTGGGCAGACGCAGGAGACAGTCAGACTTCAGGGGACATTCAGTTGCCCACAGCCTCAGGCCATTAAAAGAGCTGGAGGGATAAACAACTTAATAAGGTAGCAGTTTAGCTTACCCAGTATGAGACAGGAGAGAGGAAACCCTGCCTCGGCCTCTGCTTGGAGTTTCTGTACAAATAACACTGATTCAAATGAGAATTCTGGACAAATACGCAAAATTCTGTCATTTGCCCAGTAAAAACGCCAAGAAGTAAAAGAAGACAAATTCAAGGATGTCCAGACACTCAGTAACAAAACATGCAGTATAAAGAGATTATTCTCCCCTGCTGTCTACARACATTTGTTCCAGTGACATGTGGCATAGCTTTGCTCTGTTACAGTATATATTGAAATATGCAGATAGGATATACTCCTACATAAGGTTTAGAGACGAAAATCAGACCGAAGTTTCACAGAGTGATTTTAAATGTACCTTGGAATTCTTCTAATGATATCACACTATTGCAGTTTCTTTSCCTGATGGAATCAGTCTACTCTGCCATCAGCACCACTGTGGTCTAAGTGGATGCTCAATTAGAATACTCTATAGGAAATATCAGTTCCACTTAACATGAAATGAGGGTGTAAAGATSTATTAGGGGAATGACAACCATAGTAAAGGTAATAATGAAGCCCTGACAATCATAAAAATTAAACAGGACTGACAAAGATCCATTTTCATTACTAAGGTCATTATTTGAGGTCTGTACTATGAGATCTGCAATTCTAACCCACACAGGAGATGGAAGGAAAGGTACAGCACAGTTAGACGGTKTAGAAAAAATACTACCTCTGATGTTAACACTAAGCAGACAGTTTCCAAACATGACGCAGTGTAGCAAAGGGGAGTTTAGGTAAAGTGAGTATAACAGATAAAACTGGGAACAGGCTGCAGAGCCTCGAAATCAAACTATGCATGTTTAATGTTTGAATCAAGAAATTCCATGGAAACAATCCAAAGAGCTTTTTGTATTCTCCACAACACAGATATACTTTAGTGTGATTGCCAAGATTTGGAAACTTTTCTATTTTCTATCTTCTTTTCAGTCTTTACATTGAACAAATGCATTTGTGATGGGAATGAACAAATTATTTTSAAGGAAAAACATTATCTACAACTTACTTGAGCTTGCTTGTGTATTGGAAAAGGTTGAAGGGTTTCTCGGTAGAAAAGCTGATGATAAGCCTGTAGGTCAAACCAAAAGTACACGCAGTTCTTCCACAACTAGGGATRAAAAATATTGTAAGTTTGCTACCCAAATATCACAACTTTTTATAAAGTTGACTTGCCAGTGTAAGCAATTAATTAGCTTTTTGGAGTCATYATAAATCAAGCTCAATTTAAGATGGATTTAATCCTCTGTTGCATACTGGCAGAAGGACAACATGTTTAATAGCATCGTCTCAGGGATGCTCTATCTTTTATTGTACCCTTTATGCTTAATTGGCTATTAAAATCGTTAACATTGTAGTTAATATTCAAAGAGTAACTACTTTTCAGTGGCATGAAGCCAGCACCAAAGAAGAGATGATGATAATGGCCATGCAGAGTTTGTGCCACAGTAAAATAGCATTGTGCAGCAATAACCAAAACAATTAAATACTGTGTATTTGACATATGTTACTGTGACTATCATTACATTTTTATTACATGCATTTCTGAGACACAGACTCATGGCTTCATTTCATAAATTCAAACAAACAGCAAAAGATCTTTCAGAATGAAATGTCTTTCCCCAAATCCTCTGTTTTCATCGTATGTTTATGGGGTTGAGATCTTAAAAATACCCTGAAACCCCCATCACTAACCAACAAAGAATGCATTCCAAAAATGTAGGGGTAGGGAACTTGGTTCCACAAACTGTAGCCTTCCAGACCTCGAACATGAGTGAAATAGGCTTCACAGCTGAGGAGAAAACTTCAAGGAAATAATTTTGGAAGGAGTCTGGCACCTGGAAAGGCTGCATGGATGCCTATCTCCAATGGAAMAATAAGTTTATTTTTTTATATTTCTATCTATACACATCCAACATTTTTAGCTGAAGGCATTTAGCTTTGGAAACATTGGATCTTGCCTTCTAGAAGCCAGAGCCATTTCCAGCTACTGCTGCTGGATTCTGAGTTCTGCCAGCAGCAAAACAGATGTCCATCTTGATTGTATTCAAACCTCCCCTAAAGACTCCGTTTTTCTGCAAAGCCACTAAATATTAACTSAATATTCATAACTTGTTCCAATCCAATCCTCAATTTACACCCAGCAATGAATGATAGATCTGCTGACTACATAGAAGAAATAGTGTTATGTTTCTCAGAAATCCAAGGAGCTTCATGGAAGCATAAGAACATTTTTTAAATATTGGCCATTTTGGACATCACTAACCCAAAAAGTAAGAAGAAAGCAGATTACAGTGAGTAATAGCACAGCAGATTTTCCATAGTTTTAAAAAATTGTTTTTGTGGGTTAAGACCTCATTTTTTTCTGCCAAGTTAGAGGCCAGTTTTTAAAAATTATTAGTCTTTTTTTTTATCCCTTATGGTACAATAAGAATTCCAATAGGTTTGAGACAGTAAGAATCTGACAGCTTGGTTAAGATCTGTCATTAGTTTGCATATATACATGAACAGTTTATTGTTGTTGAGGGATTGAAGTCTCACAAGTAATAATTCATCCAGTCATCAATCTTTCTTTTCCCCCCCTTTTTTTTTCAGTCTGGCTACACTCTATAATTTGGCATTCAGTCAATTGTGGACTAAATTATCACACAGYAGGAAAATATTCATACCTTATTCTCTGACTTCTCACAGAATTGTGTGAAGTAGTAGCCTGCTCTGTTCTCCAAATAAAGAGACTGCAGCATGCTTTCCATTCCTGATCCCCTGAAGACAACACTGCCAGCAGCACTTTTCCTCTGGACAAATAAAACATAGTTATATAACAAGGAATAACAGGCTTTCATTATTTTCAAATGTCAGTACATTGCAATGGAGGGCCATGAAGTGAATTCAATTAGTATCTTCATCCCAAGGAAGTAGACTCCATTTTCTACTACATATGCAATTGATCACAGCCCTCCATACCCTTTTCCCACTAAACACCCACATCCAATGGAATAAACCTGATGACTGAAGACATGCAGAGCAGCTAAGTGATCATAGCATCCCTTAGGTGGTTCCTCAATACTTAAAACAGAAAAGCAAACCTGGCCCTAATTCTGTCATTAAGTCTTTAGCTCCAGTGATACTCAGTGAAAAGGTTGAAAAGTTAACTGTCGAGAGTCGTCTCAGTTCAGACTACTATGTTTTGAAATCAGAGAAGAGGTGGTTATTTGGTCATGATTCAAAACATTTAACTATCATGGAACAAAATATATGTCTTCTGGCATTACACCACTGACACAAGCAACAAAATTATGAGCAATTTAGGGAGCAAGAAATCCACGCTCCACGTTACCATGGCTATCTCCTAGAGCGTTTGAGGAAGAATACATCCATTTTGTCAGTGCTCACASAGAAGCCAGAAGAGGCTTCTCTAAGTAGTAAATTAGCCTCTGATGATCACAAGTGAGAAATTGTGGCTGACTTGATGTCTCTCATAGCAGAAATGGAAGCAGATGAGTATGGTGGCTGGCAAACAACTTCTTTCCAAATAACAGGGACACAGAAGAGAAGGAGGAAGCCAGACTTTTGAAGCAGAGTAGGAAGATCTCCATCCTCAGTATGAAGTTAAACTATGAATCCTTGGATTCCCTTTTGCATCATATTTGTAATGGTGAATTGTGGTATCTTGACTGTAGGTTCCAGTCTAACCCTATAAGTGTAAATGTATAGTGTTCTCTCTCCATACGCAGTAAGAGGGAAATTGCATATGATGAAACATAAAAACTTATAGTTCATGGTATGAACTTCTGTTGAATATACATTCCTAACTGCGAGTATTCCCGAATTGCATAGACTAACCTTTTTTCCTGTCAAATTAACAAAGAAGTAAAATGATTGCAGTGAAATAATAAACAAAGTGTGATTTTGATGTGCAAAACAAACAGGAATGTGCTCAAATGATCAGCAAACCCTATGTACATATGAGTGGGCTCATATTTTTTAAAGTGGTTTTTTTTTTAGTTGTAAGGTTATGGGTATCAATACCTCCATGAAACAGCAGGCTGTTTTGAGGCCGTTCCATAAACAAGAAAGGTTTTGGATACATTTGTGATTGCCACATGTTGACACCTCACATGTTTGATTTGTCAGCAATTTAAGAGTTATTGAGAAAAGGCTCATCTTTGCAGCCTGTCTCTCCTGAGGTTCACTCAACCAAAGATCCGCTTAGCAGGCAACAATTCAACAAAGAAAAGAATGGAGTACACAAGCAATAAAGAAGGATTGTACAAATGAAACATCTTCCTCTTATGAATGCTACAATTTTAATGACTTTTAAAGGCAGATTCAGTTTTCACTGTAAGTCTGGTACATTTTCCTAGGCAATGATTTCACTGAAGCATTTACCCAGGGAGTTTTCTGCAATAGCCTACTGAACACATGGTCACTATGGAGAAGATCAACACTTTTTAGTGAAAATAAACTCCTGTGTGTGCCATGATTTCCTATCAAATAAGTGACAGATACAACAGGGAAAATGCTGACATTCTAATAGTACTTCTGCATAAAGCATTAACACTGATAAAATTAAACCAATTTCTCTCCATTATTGACTACTTCCTTAAGTGTTTTAAGGAAGTGTTTTAAGACAAATAATATTTTCAAGCAGTACTTACACGGAGCAGCTCAGCATAGGTGTACTTTCTACGACTCTGGTACTTTGAGTCTTTTGTGCCATCCAAAGCTAAGCTATGAATCATGTCTGTGCTGGATCACAAACAAAAAAATTTTCAACACATATTAAAGAAAAATCACAGACTTGTTATAGAATAAATAAGCAGAAGCAGACAAGTGGTGTAATAATATAGTGAATAGTAGAGGAAMAATATATGGAGTTCAAATTTCTAATGAAAAAAATGTAGCAGAGTACTTTTTTCATGYGGCTGTGTGGAAATCACTGGCACTGCATGACTTTGAGGGTTAACATTTGAGACAGGTTAAAAGAATATGAATGTAGAGAATATAAACTATTATATAAGAGAAAACACTTGCATTGGGAAAAAAAATCCATTTGTGTTGTGGCATAAACAAGCAAGAAACTAATCAGCCAGGAAGAAATTATCCATGCAAACAATCTGTACCATAACTGTGCTCCACTAAGCAGATAATTGTATTAAATAAAGGTACTCATGAAAAGAGTAGAATCTGAAATACTTTCAGAGATATTTGAGGATATTGGTGTGCAGAAAGATACACAAGGGACTTCAGTACTTACCATATTCTACTGCTAAAAATATCTCTTCCAAGAATCTGACTTCCTGTGAGAGTAGATGGTAATCTTGMTGATTTCTTCAAAGAGAAATTTGGTTTAGCTAGTTTTAATAAAGTTGTTGGTGAGTTTGTTCTATTTTGCTAAAGGACATTACAGAARAATAAGGCAATTCTGATTATTTTTTCCACCTTTTGTGTTTTCTTAACGTGTTCTCAGTAACTACTCAAAAACYGTCAACGGTTTTCAGGACTATTCTTCCTTGTCAATCACAATATATAAAATGGCAAGTTGCAAAAATCTCTGAATATTTTTCATGATTTTTCAGCATACTTTCATAACCATTACGGCTTAAAAAATACATTTTTTACAGGTAGAAATATGTTACAAGCACATTGTACAGAACTACCGAGGATGTCAGGTGAAGAGCATGTGAATATGTTTTGTGAAACTTTGGGAAGATTATCTTAAGYCAGCTAGATAGAAACAGTAAGATAGATACAATCAATCAGACTKGGAGAGAAAGGGGTCATTCTGTCACACCATCACTGAGTATTTTGAATCAAATCATGCTATGACTTTTTGGGGATRCCAATTGTATTCAGAGTGCCCTCAGAAATTCACCCAAAGCTGCTGCTTTTTCTAAGCTCTCGCAAGCCCAGAGTAGCTAGAAGATTCCAAAGTCAAAATTTCTTAAGGGGAAAAAAGAAAAGAAAGAGCACAAATGGGCCATCAGATGAYTCTGTGGTGTTCATGGTACCAGGTCATAATTGTTGTAAAATTCAACAGTGCCTGAATTACAGCTAGCCCTGGATCATTAGCACACTTTGTGAACTGGTCACTGTAAAACACAGGTACTTCTTGCTCCCTTTCCTGCCATGATCAATAGGAATCTGGCTTCTGAACCCTGTTTCTTCTAAACAAGAAATCTGTCCCACTATTTTCCTCCATTATCTCCATGAATTAGATTTCAAAGTAAGTAACTTTAGCCCAAAACTATCCAATTTAAAGTAACAGAGGTGTGTGCTCACAAATCTGAGGCATATCCTACACAGTTCCTAATACTGGAATCCCAGTTTCAATCCACATTCTCCAAGCAACATGTGTTCTGTGGCTTAACACTGTATTGCCGAAAGCCTCTAGCTTTCACTGCAGTTACCTCTCACATTTAGGCCTGYAAGGAAGAAAAGAGTCAAAACTGAACTGGCCACCTGCAAGCTACAACTGTGAAAAGGTCTGTTGAGTGGCTCATGGTCCTCTGTAGAAAGCAAAAACCATGTGTAGCTGATTGAAGGGCTGTGGTGATAGAAAATGAACAGAATTCTGCCCATTTTAAAGACATGAGGAATAGATCCAAGTTAACTGCAGGGAAGTTGTAAGAATTACTCTGGATTAAGACAAGGCTGAGTGGCAGAATATGCATTGCTAGAGATTTAATTTTGCAGTTCTGAGAACTTCCAGCTAAAATATCTATCCAAAGAACTTAGGAAACAGGCAGGATGTAACTGAGAAGATAATTTGACTCAATTTATAGCAACTTGCTGCATAAAGTATAATGAAATTTTATTGCATTTTTATACGTAACCATCTTCAATATACCAGCTTGCTAAATCTTGATTTCCTAAAAAACCAAGTACCTTATTCTTCTTCTATTGAATTCAAGGAGTTTTGTCATTATTTTTGAYGGGACAAAGCTTTGTTTTTCAATGTTGTGATACCACTTACCTGACGAAGGGAAGGTGCTATGCCAGACTTTTGGGTCATTGGTAACAATGATACTATTTGTGGGAAAGGATCAATGTCGACCCTCGGTCTCTCTTGACAAGTGTGCCAGAATTTCAGTTTTGCACTGGCAGCATCTACTGCTGTTGAATGAGTAACACAAAATCTGGGACCCCTAGGGAGAAAAAAATCTAGTAAGTAGAACTTTCCAAAATAATGAAACACTGGGCTATTTGGCATCTTCTTTTTTTTTCAGTAATGATGTTTATTTTACCAAGATACAGTGCTATATGCATCAAGAATTAAAAATCAGTTWCTGTTAAAGACATGTTTAAATATTGCACGCTTCCAAATCTAAAACCCAACCACACATAAGTAAACTTAGGTTGCAAATTCTGCACTATTACACAGTTGCCTTTCTATCAGTCTGCAGGAAGGCATGCCCCATCCATCCTACAGCAAATCATAGGAAAGGACTGTAGGCCACAGGACAGAGACTTCAAGTCACATGAGCATCCACAGCAAAATTCAAAATTCCAAGTATTTGTTTATACCCGCAATTTGTTGAACCCCCTTGGGGAGAACATCTTAAAAAAATTAGCCCATATTTTGGAAATTGGTTAGATTTTTCATCCTCACTTAAGCCAYTAATATGTAAAAAGCATTCTGCATGACAGGCATTGAACAGTAAAGTCTCAGGGTCAAAGCCCATGAAGACATACACAGAGCATCCTCAGAACCTGGGAAGGGCAATATGGGGAACAGATTAGGACAGAATTAACCTCCTGTACCTGGAAGGGTTTCCCCATCCTGCAGACTRAAGTTTAGTTGAACATTATCCAAGGCAGAGATCCACAAACCAGCTCAAATGTTCTGGTAGAAAAATAATAAGGGCTCACKAAGGCAGATCTATCTGGCTTCTCAGCAGATTGCAGTGTAGTTTAGGCTCAATTACAAATTCMTGTGCTAGCACTTATGATGACATTGTTTCCAATAATTGCCATGGGATAAGTGACATGAAATAATACGCTTATCAAAGAAAATGGAAATTTATTAAACAACAGAATTTTATTTCACATCCATTTTTTCATACCAGTAAAGAAGGAGTGGTTTCACTACTTCAGGCTGAATCTGTCTTAAATGCATTATATTCCACTGATCTCCATGCAGTAGTTCAAGTCTGAGTAACACTTCTGAACTGAGGAAATAGTCTCCACTGCTCAGCAGGTACAGTTTTTTCATCTTAGTGAGTTGCCTGCAGTCAACAAAAATAGTCGCATAAGCTTGAATCAAATGCTGTATAGAACCTACTACAGTTCATCCTACTGCTTAAACTGCTGCTATGCAACATGTTTTTAATTGCAAGTGGCAGAAGCCAAAATAATTTTTCCACAAATTAGAGACAGGTTGTGTATAAGACAAAACGTACAATGCCGTACAACAGACAATCTGAATCCAGCAAGATCTTTCATCAAAGCAGTTTGGCATACTAATGTCCTRGTTGTGAATTTAACTGCTTTTATTCTTAATTTTCTTTCTGTTGCCATCTGTTTTCCAAATCTCTTTCTAAGAGAGCCTTAGTAATATTATGATTCTGACTTCATGCAAGCTTTGCAAACATGACTCCGCACAAAGAGTTTTATCAGCTTCAGCAGAGTCATTCTGCTGTCAGGACACACATTTAATTGCATCTGTTTATTCAGACATCACAATTTACTCTGAAATCTCAAAACCTGCRTTGATCTATCCAGGTTACAAGAATTAAAGCAATGGGAGTAACAAATAATGGGAAGTACCTTTGTTGCCTTGTAGTGTTCTTGAGAGCCTTTAGTCTTTCAATATCCATCCAGAGCCACCAGTACCTCTCCCCAAGTGTTCCTTTAATAAACTTCCTGAAYCGTTCAAATTCATGTCTGTTGCCAGTGTCATAAGTCCCGTGACTAATACACCAGGCAGCCCTGCTGTCTGGTCCACCAGTTTCAGAACTTGAACTTAAGCTTATTTGTTCAGCATCTTGTTCTCTTACATCTTCCTTGGAGCCCAAGGCTGTAAGTGGAGAAKAACTTTGGTTAAAGAGTGATTCTGCAGTACCATGGGCAAATTCATTATTTGCTAACTTGTGTGTAAACACTTCAGGCTGTTTTGTGGAACTTCACAGTACTTTCAATGACAGCACCTGGCTGGTGAAACATTGTAGCTTGAGAAGACGCTGGTAGAAAAGCTGTGCTTTCCTCTTCATTTTCTCCTGCTGCTACGCTGTCCCATTTTGGGTCTACATAAACTCTTAACTGCATGGGGGAAGAAGGCTCAGCAATGGCCACAGAACAGCCCTCTGCATCCTCTATGGATGTCTCACCAGTAACATCAGCTTCTGCAGATGCTGTCCCTGAAGGGGAAAGGAAACACTGTTGGTGGCATTGCTTAGACAGGTAGCCTGCTTCTCATTAACTCAGAAAAGATCACTGAACACCTTTTCATTCAGGACTGTTCTTCTGCATGTCAACATTACCAAGTTAAAAATTGCAACTTTTCTATTTTGCTGCTGCAGAAAGATGACACCCTGTCATTCGGCAAAGCAGGGCATAGCAGAGGTGCTTCTGCTGGTGCTATCTGCCTAGAAACTTAGACCTATGACTCAGAAACTTGCTCAGAAATAGCTGCCTCTGGAGGCAATTGCCCTGTTTATTTAGGTAAGCATCCCAGCTCCTCACCRCCAGTTAAGCCATGCTGTGCTGCAAAGCCTTGTTCCTTCCTGAGTATTTGATTAGTTTGATCAAAGTCACATTATGTAGCAGAATTGGTTTCAGCTTGAGGCAGCTAATAAGTGATAATTCTTGTTGACCTAAGTTGGTTATTGCAAAAGGCTGAAACATCAAATGCTTCTGTCAATAGGGAAAAATTCTGACAGACATAGAAGGATGACCAAACAAATTATTATGTCAAAGGCTCTGGAAACATTTAACAATCCTACAGTCCAGTGTGCCACCCAGAAATGGCTCCTTTCAATTTAGAGATATTTTATAACTAAGAAGTTCAGAACAGTGACCAGCCCTGTTTTTATTTTTTTTTTTTTTAATTTACATTTCTCTTCTTAATTCCTTTTACCCAATTCTTCATCATCCCTGTGCCATCAAGCATGCCCTCCAATCTTGGTCTACTTAAAGAGAACCTTACCGCTTTAACTTGCTCAAATATCTTTTTCACTTCTGCCAAACTGCCAACAAATAGATTTTTTTAGGAGCATGTTAGCAAAGATGACCTTGACTATATATAACTGCTTAGTTAGGTTAATGCTGCTGTCACTGTACAAGCCAGTCCTGCAAAACTGAGCAGAATAACTACAGACACTGTGAATCTATAAAGCAACAGAATCTAAGTGAAAGAAAAAACAAAGCCATAATTCAATTGAGACTCTAGAATAACTTCATGTCAATCTATCAATTCAATGTTTAAACTACAGACTAATCTGCAGCTTCTGTATTTCACTAAAGCTAAGCTGCAGGTTTTCATGCTCCATTGTATTACTAAGCAAAAATAAGTAAGTAGCAGTCAATAAGGAGATGGCTACAATCTTTGAGCATAAGCCCTACATGAGACTGTAACAAAAAATGGCTAAATCTCTCAGATCACCTAAATACATCTTTGTAATGTTATAAGCCTCGGTTATCACCCTCTGTGGTGGCCTAGAWGGCAACAGCAGTTAGACATTCCTTTCAACCTCCTCAGAAAATAAGCCATGTCTGACCAGTGCTGGTTGTGTCACAGACACTTGGATTAGGAGCATGGCATAGACATCYCCCTGCTCTGCACTTGCATAATTTCCTAAGTACATGTGGCACAATATGTTGATATTAACATAAAAATCCGTGTGATTTAAAATACCTTTTCTTAATTTTAAACTATTTCAAATGCTTTCATTCAATGAAGAAAAATTATAGCCTCTCAACATAGGTCAGTGAAATGCAAACACAGAGAATCATTTCACAGGACCTGAGGCAATTAGGGAGAAAGATCCATCTCTGAGAACAGAGGACAAGCTCCTAACACATGAGCTGAGGCTTCTCTGTTCATCTTGCTGCTGCGTAAAAAGCAGAAGCAAGGCTGTGCAATTAGGTATATGTCCATAGGTGCATCCATATGTTCTCTCACAGCTCCTTTGAAACCTGCTGAAATATTTCAAATAAATTTGAAGATAGATAGGATTCCAAATGATTACATCTTAAAAGATTCATAAAAATTGRCAGCCAAAAGACCTTGAAGAGCTCAACTTAAATATCCTACAAAGATGGCTGAAACACATCATACACTATCAAACACCCAAAGAATCCRGACAAGAAAGTCTTTCAAAACACATGAATTCTGGCCCACCCTCCAACTGCCCACCCACAAAAAAAAAAAAAACCCAAAACAACTCAACTGAAACTTACAGATTTCTATGAGACATAAATATGTAAGAAAAGAAGCTACTACTATCACAAAATTACTTGGCTGCAAGCTCAAACTTTCACTTAATGYTGAAGCTATGGAAAGAAACAAATGCCTGTCTGAAACCTCAAGTATCATGTGACACTCAGAAAGTAAGAGGTGGAGTAGCAACAATTCCTTAGAAAGTCTCTCCTTTCCACCTAGCTGGAGCTGTGCCATAAACCAGAGGGCTGATCCCTTGATACTTACCCAGAAGGGTATCTTTTTCACTTAATGATTTGTCCCTTTCATGCTGCCCTGGCAAAAGCTGAGTATCTTGAACTTTATCAGAAGGTATGGGACGTGTAAATGAATCTGTAGTTTTCACAGAATCACCTTGTTTTGCTAATGTAAACCAATCCTTCACCTGAGAAACTGTAGCCTAGGAAAAGAAATTTCATGGAACAGTTAAAATTCTCTGTTTATTGCAGTATTTTTGAGAGCTTACTGTCCACAATAACTTTGTGCAGCCTGTTTGTGTAGATTTCTATAAGGATAGTTCCCAGTGAAGAGAGCTGTATGATAGTAGCTGAGCATATTTGTAACACAGCTTCTGTGTAAGTTTTATTGCAACTCATTGACCTTTTTCAGTAGCACAAAAAATTTGACTATAGAAGCTATTCAGAGAACCAGAGAATCAGACAATGGTTTAGGTTGAAAGGGACCTTGAAGATCACCTATTTCCAACGCCCCTGCCRTGGGCAGGGAACCTTCCACTACACTAGGTTACTCAAGAGTCAGTTGTCCCATTAGGTTGTGACCTCAGTTAYAATAATTCTACCCATTGCATTCAACTTTCTCAATGTTACACCCACTAAACATGTTTATTTTACCTCGCCAAGTGATACATGGAAGTTCTTCATAGTCAATGCAGTGTCATCCTCCTCAGTAGGGGGAGAACTTGGGCCTTGCTTCAGTTCCCAGGGAGAGTAGTCACTATCTATAATGAAATTAATGCCAGTCTTGCTCCATTCTACCTGTGATATCAATTTAGCCAGCCTGAAATTACATGTTGAGACAAGAAAATAATTAATTTTAGCTTTCAAACAGAGAAACAGTTGATTTTTTCCACAGAATCGGCAATTAAAAAATTTACATATCTAAGAAAAATTGCTAGAGAGATTATAGAATATCCTGATTTGGAAGGTCCCACAAGGACCACTGAGTCCAGCTACATCATTGTTTAAGCCTTCACTTGCTGTCACATATGTAAATGACAATACTGCCATTGCACAGCTTCACCAGCTTCACAGATAGTGCCTTGTTTTGCATTAYCAAGCTTTACCAAGTAGAAATTACTTCTTTCAGGATGATTTTGCATGCATCTCTGAAGTCCCAAGCCCTGCCAAGAATCTCTTGAGCATTTTGTTCACTACAATTGAACCATTCTCCCACATTGCAGAAGCCCTGTATCACTACCAGATACTGTACTTCGGTTCCTGAAACAAACAATCTTCCAGTAGTAATGCCACAGCACTGATCACACTGAGTGAACTTRCAGATGCTGACAAGACAGCTGCCACTCTCCTCTTCAGCTGGCTGCTGTATGAGGATTTAATGGTACTGAACAGTACTCCAGTGCTGCTTTGTGTTAGCATCAACCTCACAATATTCAGGAAAGGCAATCTTAAGAACCACATGACAATAGTAAGAACTGGGGCAGAACTTAAGTTAGAAGGAGTACAAAGGCAACCAAGTCACATTTGAAGGGAAGATGAAGACTACATTTGAGCCTACAACCAATTTTGAATGCTCAGTTTTATTTGTGCCCACTACGGGAGATCAACTAGGATTTAATTCTAAGGTTGGGATGTTTTCATCTTTAAAAGCAATTTCCCCTTTTAGCATCTGAACTTATCTTGATTCTGATTCAGGAAAGAATCTTGAACTACTGATGTCAATTGCAATTAGGTACATGCTTGAAGTTAGTTTCATGCAATTCTCTTGGTAACTCTGCTTGATTAAACAGTTTGCTATAGAAGAAGATCAAAGTTATTGTTTCATGAGGTCCAGACATGTATAAAGCAGACTTCTAATAAAGGTAAAACTCAGCATTCTCATAGTTTGATTGTTATTTGCATGCCTTTCCCCTTTGAACTTAAGTGCAGGCTCCAGGTTATTGAAAATAAAAAAAAAAACATTTTAAATTTTTTAACTGAAGTTTATACACAAGTGTTGAAGTTTATACACAAGTAACCCCTCTGCCATTAAAATCAGTAAACATGAGTTTTGTGAACTATACTGACAGGCTGCTTCTCCTTTTGCGTCCCTGAAACATGCTACAGTTATCTGCATCTAGACACAGCCTCAAGGGATATAGAGGCAGACCCTTCCAAAAAAGCACACTAGATCTCCTGAACATCTGCTGAAGGGACATTCAGAAAAACACTCCAAGTTTATAACAGTAAATCATCCAGCTATATCATGGCATCCCACAGAGAACTTTGCTAAAGAAATTCTGACAGTAGACCCAAAGACAGAAAACTAATAATTGAAATAAAAAGTCTTGCTGGTTTTTTCCAAATTAATTTAGCTTCTACTTATATGGCTTACATATTGATTAGGGAAAGATGCATTGCTGCCATGATATCTCTGAGGAACAGAGATTCAGAAATCAGAAAATCCCATTCCTACTCTCTTTATAATGGTGTAGTATTGGATGTAATTCTTGGTCGAGGAAAATTAAAGAATGATGAGTGAAAAAAGTCACTGACTTCACTTTATCCAGGTCACTAAAATGCTGCAATAAAGCAAACAGGACAACAGCTGGGTAAAATCACTTTAGGAATACCACCAAGATTAATTAAACAGAAGAGGAAAATGTAAAAATTGAAAACTGAACGATAACATAAAAGATGTCAATACCTGTATTCAAAATAGCAGTCACTTTCTAGAAAGGCTGGAAGTCTTTCTTTCTTGATCCACTGAATTGTTTGCTCTTGATCGAGCTGCTATTAAAAAAAAATGCCAAAGATTTGCAGTATTCTTGACTTTTYTTGTTTTATTTGCCATGTAACTGATTCTCTCCATCCCCGTTCTACGGAGGCAGTGTCTCAGGAAAATAAATATAGGTTATGCTGGAACAATTACTTTTCTATTAAAAGCTAAAAAGGTCTAAATCTGATTTCACCTACCACAGGATRACTTTTGTAACAAATCATGAGTGCTTTTCCTTCAGAAATAATGTGYGTGTGAACCATTCTTTTACTGTACAATTTCAAATGCAAATTAGATGCACAAAAAAATTCTGCAATAGGAAATTGCTAGTTTTTCTGATTTTAACACATTTTATAAATAAGAGCTATTGCATTTTTCCTCAAGAATTTGAAGAGTAAGGAATGCTTAAATTAAGTTATATTTTCAGAAAGAGAAAACTGTGGATATTAAAATCAAAATCAAACAAAATAGAAATCCAATTAGTTATCACCTCTCATGCGTTCATGTTGGATCACTGCAAAACTGCATTGCACATAGTAATTCTTACAGTAAAAACCTGTATGTGTTATGACCTGGGGCTACAACAAATCCCTGCCTCAGTGCCTTATTGAAGCAGAAAGAGAGGTGCCTCCAAAGAGAGGTTTGGGGAGTGAAAGGGAAATGTTGAACTGCAAGCTACACAGAGACAGCTAACAAAAAATCCATACTTMGATTCTTACTCAGGGAGTAAGGTCTCTGATCATGGGCCACAACAATCCAYAGCTGTTTCTTTATTACATACAGCACTTTCTAATACTTTTTYTTTTTAATAGTGTACTTTTTCCGGTCTTAGGGGATGATCTATTTTAWTCATCTGAGGTGCATTTTTCCTTTCAGTGAGACTCATTTTGAAGAATGCAGGAACTACCCTTGTTCATAGAAACAGGTGAGATTTGGGCAGGGATGGACACTACTTGTTATATCAAGTAATCAGTTTATTTAGATCACAGCTTAAATTTTCTTTCCATGAGCTAATATTCCATTCAAGGCAAGGGTTATTTCTGCCTTACATGTATCTGTAGGGGATTAAAAAAAATCTGTATTACTCAGAAAGTGGGTGGTTTCTTTTAAAGACAAGAAAATATTTCAAAATATGGAAAGCTTATGTTGGCAATGGTTCATACAATGTAATTTGTGGAGATGGAGACTAATTACTCCCAACCACASAGTGTATGCTTCTTTCAGGCAATTGACAAGTTTTTTTGAAATACAGAAGATAGTCTCTTTCTTTTGGCACTTAATATTTATGCATTTACTGACTTACAGCCCAGTTTTTTATCTGAATGATTCATAACATGCTCATGTCTATACATGGCTGGTACGCAAAATTATATGTCATATCAGAAAGAAAGACTCTTTATTCTTTCCCGGTCCCCAGAGAAAGATGCTACATTTAATCTGATGGGGTTTATTACCTTGGTTAGCTTCCTTACCCAATCAGCCTTAGGCCTTGCTAGGACTCAGTCCAGCAAAGCTTTTAGCACGTGTTTAAGTTTAAGCATGTGTTTAACTTCCCTTGATTAAAGTTAAAAACATACTTAAGTGCTTTGCTGAACTGGGGTTTCTCTGAAGTAAGSTATGTGGGATGCCAGCCAGTTTCTTTCCATAGCTGTGATCAATTCTACACAAGACCATAGATTTTTTTYTCAACATATTTTACACCACTGATATTGACTACCAATGAGAAGACACTTCCATATCAATGATTTGCAAATGTGCAAACACACATGAAGGGAACTTTTGCTTATCTGTAAATTTGCAACACTCTGAGAGGGAGCTAAAATACAGATAAAAATACCACTGTGTGTATTTCTTAGTCAAGATGTGCTAAAATATAGGCTGTAGCCTGAAAGGCCAACTAGGATTTTCCAGTCATAACTCCTTTACATAAGTAACCTGCCAGTGATGACCACTCAACGTGACTTTTTTTTGTAAGCAATGTAACATTCAAAACAACTGTCAATCTCTTTAGTCAGTGTGAAGGCAGCCAAAGCAAAGCAGACAGCATCACYTGATGATTTAAAGATCAAATCCTATTTGATTTGAACAGAACTACTTGAYAGAGTTGATCTGGCGTGGCTTCTCCTGGTTCCTTGTAGAACAGTGAATGGAGATGACTTCTCTCAGCTTGTGTAACTGTGGAAACCATTGGGAGCAAGCTGTTTCACAGGCCATTTTGTTCCAGCTCAGACTTGAGATGCCAAGGTGAACTGAATGAGGCATCTATGTTACCCAACCAGTAAAGGAGGAATCAAAAATAAGAAGAAATGTCACCCTTTCCCCCGAAAAGGAGAAGAAAGGGTACTGAGGCATATTAGTTCCTCAAAATGCTATAATGCCTCCCATCTATACAAAATATCCCAGGAAAAGAAATGGAATCTTAAACAATATAGAGGCCCCACTTCCCCAGACCACACGAAAGAAGAAAGTAATAGTGAAATGGCTTTGAATTTCTGAAGGAAGGCCATTCACAGTGGTAATGACAGGAGGTTAGTCCAGAGTGCAATATTAGCCAAACTGGCACAACACACAGCATTTCAGTTTAATACTGAAAGCAAATAAGAAATCAAGAACAGCTCTTCTGCTTCTGTGTTCTCAAGCAAAGTATTTGTGAAAATTATTGTTTAACATGGTAGGGATTTTAACGTCTGTGAGCATTCTCTTTTTGCAGCATTTGTCCATTTTAAATGCAGATAATTACAATATCACATCAGTATAATTTTGTTAAACATCATTGCATTTTGACCCCTCTCAACACTGTTTTCTTTTCTGAAAATCATTAATCTTATACTGGGAAATGCAGAACTCTGTTACAACTCCCTGCTTTTCTCTCAGCTTTCCAGCTATGACACAATTTTGAGCAGCCACTGCAAAAAATGTAGCAAGAACTCAGACTGGCCTCGGATAAAACAAAGTCACATCAGTCACATCCATGTAAAATAAACAAGGAATAAGCCAAGCATCCCAAGCAAGTGAAACACTTTTTGTCCTCAAAAACTGTTGTTTAAAGACAAAATCCCACATCCAATTACACCAACTTGTATTCTCTCAGGTGCATAAGATGCCTCAACTCCTGATTTTAACCTGACTAATTTGGTGCTGAAGATGGCCCTGGAAGCAAGGCAGATAAGAATACCAAAATTTAAACTTTCTAAGTCTGAAACTAGATTTTTTTATTTAAATTCCAACCCATCATTCCATTAATTTAGCTTTCTTCTTGCCAAAGATTATTTTTTCTGGCCATTTCAATTGATTCTAACCATGTAAACCCTTTAGGAATTAATGGAAGAGAGACTYATGTGTTGCCAGACCACAGATGAGCTCATAGCCACACAAGGAAATTAATTAATAAGGAAAGACTGAGCTGCATTAGTTTCAGTCAATTTGCACATTCCAGGGATCACTAGTAAAGTAACTGTTGTCATAATATTTTTTCTTTTAATATTAAAAAGTATTCAGACCACACAGCTGAACCCTGCCCTACAGAATCTTCAAAATTCTGTGCTACAGGATGTGCATCTGTAATTCCATTCACTTGTCTGCTAGACACATGTGCGTTACAGGGCATAATTTGGCCCATCATTATATTTTCCTAACGTAAATTAACATTTTTCCCAAGCTACCAAGCCAAACACAACAATAACTATTGCCAGTATCTCTAAAGTAAGATCTAAATATAAACTCAGGGGCTATAAGATGCTTACCATAGTGTTGTCTTTTGGATCAATACTGAAGGTTGAAGAAGTACTGTGCATTTTGGAGAGCTGCCCATCATTCTTTACTTTCCTTAGACCATTATAAATGGGGCTTGGAGGTTTCTGATCACGTAGAATTTTTTTCAGCTGGCCTTCCCGGCGTTGTGGGGCATAATTAACTACTTCAAAAGCCCCAACGTCAGAGTTAAACTTCATTGGCTGGGCAAAAGTCTACAAAAGAAGTTTGAAAAGTTAATGGTACCATAATAAGGCAACTGTCATTTAACAAAGTTATTTTTTATCATATAGAGGCATCCTACASAATACAAAATCGTATTATGAGGCTTCTTCCTCTTGGGCGTGAAATGGTAATTTTTCCATGTTTTTGCTGTATAGCTTTCCAAAGCATTCCTACTTTTTTATGTCAGCAATGCTTAATTGTCAAGAATTGAATTCATTTTAGATCACAGACCATACTTTTTCACATGCAAATAATAGATCCAGTACACTGATGTCTAGAATATATAATTAACTGTGAATTTAGCAGCTGCCCTACAGACTTACTCACCTATAGGGTCAGATCTCCAGTATTATTCTTCCATTCRTTATTATCAACAATCAAGGCTTGAAAATACTAGCAATAAAACTGACCTTTCAAATATAAGATGCATTTGAGGAGGATGAATGTTAAGATTTTCATATGTAGCAAAGCCTTTTCACCATATTGTTACTTGTAAGTCAAACAACTACCAAAACCCATGTCCCGTAGTAAATTTTATTATACATCACTAGTTCATTCAGATACTGTGTAATAGATGAGAAAGACCAAACTTCAAATTTGGCCATGCAATTGCGACTTCTGTCAACTCACAAAACCCACTGCATGTGTAAACACTAAAACAGCCATCTTTCACTTTTCAGCCCTGATATTAGGTATTTCCTTAAAAGATTATCTTTCAAATTCTCTTACTTGAAATGAAGAGGAAAAATATGGATGGATTTTACAGAAGTCATAGGGGATACACATGACAGTTATGAATAGGAGATTGTATAGAACCAGAGTATATAAGCACCGCTGCACTCAGCTGGACAACATGGCATGTTGTGTTTAGTATATAAGTACTCAGGAAACTACTGGCCACACTTAGACCCAGTGCCAAAATTCATTTTGGTTTCATTCCAGACAGGATCCCACCTGGTATTTGTACAGTTGTCGGTCCCCTGCAATTAATATGAATATTTTATTTGTTCAAGCACTGTATTTTTAATTTCCTTGAACTTTTTCATATATCACATATACACACACATAGACATAATTCATATACATTCTACATATGCTAAATATATGCTACATATAACATAAAAATATATTACAGAACAATTTGATTCTTCCTCACACCTGCATAAGCCCAAAGTAATGATGTTATTGTCACTCATTCCATAGCTTCTTTTTGAAGCCCCCTTCTGGATCAATGCATTGTAGAGCAATGCCCAGAATTAAACCATGTGGCTGCAACATGTGGTTTCAACATTCCCTACTTATCCCATAATGTCTCACTGTGGAGGCTCAGCCTGGCAAAGCACACAGCATGTGAGAGCTTTAAGTGTATGATTAGTGCCTATGACATCAGACCGTCACTGCTCAGGGCCATGCATTGAATTGCATGAGTCTGTTCGGTTACCTAACTTCAGCTGAAATCATGGATTGGTTTTTGTTCTCTGACACCTTSTGCCTCTTTGGCATTAATTTTCTCCAGGGCAGAAAATGGTTTGCTGTTTTTTTTCCCCCAGATGTGCTGAACAGCATCTGAAAAACCTTTTATGTGTAGTAGATTTCTCTACATTCAGACCTCCTCCCAATTTGCTATGTGTACATTTCATTTGCTTTCAAACCTAATTTGRCCTGCTACCAGCTTTTAAGTGACTAATTGTGCAACCTTAATAGCCTTCAAATGAATTCTTCCTTMTATATTCCTTCATGTTTTAAAAAAAGAAACGGCAGAAAGTACACTAAGAAACAAAGCATTTCAGTCTCTTAGGATTTGAAATGCTCTTGCTTGTGGAACAAAAGYAAACTAAATTCACATTTCATAATAAAGGTCTTTGTGACTAGATATGACAAGATTATTTCAGTGTCATGTTTTTCAAATTGAAAACTAAGCAAATACAGTATTAGTTTATCACATATATCTACTTTCATTTAATAATTTGTAATTTACTCTAGATCTAGAGTTTTTTCAATGCATTTAGCTGAAGAGAAAAATATTGCAAATTTAATGTAGTGGAACAGGTGCTAGTGACAATTTTTAAAATGCAAAGTGTATTGCTGTTTTGGGAGTCTGACTATCAATCGTTTAGAAGACAAATATACTAAAGAATCAAAAGAATATACAGTGATGGGATAGGAGGATTTTGACTTCATACACTACATACTTGACTGAAAAACTGGGTTCTAGTCCAGACTTTTGGGGTKTGGATGTGGTTACACAGCCCCAGGGATATCAAAAGGCATACATACTTCTTCTATCAGTCAGAGAGTAGCCAGTAGACTTCACACAGTAAAAATGCTTCTGGAATACTACTGCATCCAGTTTTGGCTCCCCTGTACAARAAGGATATTCACATACTTGATCAAGTCCATCAGAAGACCACTGAGATGGTCAGAGGCTGGAAACACTTGCCTTTGGYACTTGCCCTTGAGGGAGAAGCTCTGGGAAGAGCAGCAGCAGCCTTACAGTATTTACAAGGAGATTACTGAACAAACAAATCAGGTTTTTTACAGAGGTGTATGGTGGGAGGAAAGAGACCACTTGTCTGAAACAACTGTGGTCTCAACTGGATTACAGGATAAAAGGTAATTGTGGGATGATGAGCACTGGAACAGGCTAAGAGGAACTAGCTGTTGGAGGTTTTCAGGACCAACTGGAAAAGTGCCAAGCAACATGGTGTCAGTACTGAAGCACTGACCCTGCTCAGAGCAGGAAGCCATACTACAGACCTCCTAAAAGTGGTAATCCTCCTTCAGACAGTAATCTACGATTCTGTACAAATCACAAATTCCCAGTACCGCATCTCTCTATCTCTCAAACTATTATACAAAAGCATTTTAGAATAGYTCAAACCTTTCTGAAGAAGCTTGCTTACTTAAAAAAACTAGAATGATAAATCAGAATGTTTTTATAAGCATAATAAAAGAAGGGATAATTCCTAATTTTCTTAACTCATCATCACCACAAAAACAAAAATGATGATGTTATGAGAAAAATCAAATGATAAGACACAAAACTCCCCCCAGAACCTGATTTCTGGTAGGAATCATTTTCCCAGTTACCATAGAGARGAGAGGAACAGTCAATCCATTTTCCTTTCAGTATGTAAAGAACTTTGGGGCATAACACACAATCTAACCATTCCTGCACATTAGAATCCACAAAAAATGCACCAAGAAACTGTTTAACACCCTGTAGCAAAATTCAAAACCTTTCCAGTGGAAGTCCAGAACTGTAAAATCCTGTAACATTTCACAGGACAATAATGAGAGAGGTTTATGGCACCACCAATATTCCATCATTGCAATGATGAGGAATCTCTTCAGTGAAGATGCCTRTGTTAAGGAATGTATGATAGTCTACACTATAAAGGAAAGGGAAGAAATTATCCATCTAATATAMTAAGAAATGTCTTTGTTATCCCTCATTTGGCAAGCGCTTTGGCTTTTTACAGACAAGTAAAATACATTAACCAAAGACTAAGTATCATTCTCTTTAGTTTGGGCCAATTTTTAATGTTTTGAAGACAGAAAGGGAAATCTCAAGAGAAATAATACCTCAAGATGTTAAGAAAAACTAAATCAGGTTTGGCAGAGGCCTTGAAGTTTGGGGTTCATACATTATCAATTTAGCATAATAAATAAAATAAAGGACTTGAGAATACCGACAAATAAGAATTCCACAGACTATAGACAGTTTGCGAACTGTTTCACTCACAGGCAGTTCAGCCCTCAAAGCCAGTATGGCCAATGTAACTTGGTGTAGTAATCCCGGCTTCAGAAAAAATCTCTGAGTAAAGAACAAAAAGCCATTTTCAGATTGTGGTATAGCAATACTATTAAATAAATAAACAATTGCATGTACTTTTTTGACAGCAAAGAAATTTCTTAGCTGTCAAATACACATTGAATATGGTTTTCAGCTGAAAAATAAACAGAATACATAATTCTGAAACCTGAAGTTATACTTAAGGGAAGACAAATTTCTCTCAGTCCTCCCATAACAGAAACCAAAACAGCATCCATCACCATGTTGCCAGGATATCAGACATATAAATCTCACTGTTCTCTGTCTTAACCATTTTCAGATATAGTCAACTTCAGATACAATTAACAAATGTGTAAATATGCTCACATCCCAGACTCAAATAAYGTAGTTTGATCCCAAGAGAAACAGAATGACCACAGCTTGGCTGCTTCTTAGGTTAAGGGTGGGAGTGAATAGAGATCTCATCCAGGAGTGTTGCCAAAACTTCCTTAAGAAGGGTATGTGTATATCATAAATAAATGTCAGTGAGAGTCCACACCAGAAGAGAATTTGAGCAGCTCTATGAAGTGTCTGGAAAAATTCACACTACACATGATCAATGCAAAATCTCCCRTTGACTTTAATGAGTCCAGGATTTCCCTTCTGTTGATGAGTAAGACAAAAGCCACAATCACATATCACAGTCTAATTAAGAGAAAAGAACATTCAGAGTAAACACACTATCAATAAGGAATGCAGTCAGGAATGCTTTGTTTGCTTCCTTCAATGTCAAAGACATGATGCAAGTTTTAGTCCTGCGTAAGTCTCAACGTAACCTGCATGTAGAGCCTTACTTCTGTCAAAGCCTTTTTAAGGGAGGTTATATTGGCAACTGCAGCCTCCCTCCTCACACCTGGAAAAGATAAGAGGAAACTAATGAGCATGTACTGATGCCTTGAATRGATTATTTGGATGCATGGAATTATTGCTTTTTTGCTTTCTGTCCTTTCTGTTATCTGCTACTCAGATCAAGCAAGATTTTATTCTTGACAGCACTAGGTTTTCAAGACCATTCTATCTTCACAAAAACTGACTGACCCAAGATTTATTACTTGGGCTTCAATTTTTTCAGATTCATTACCTGCACCAAATGCTGGACCCCAGACTACTTGGCTTGGAGAGCTTTTACAGTGAGAACAATGTTCAAAAGAAATATTCTTCAAATCTAAAGTTGATAAAATTATAGTCACTTAGTAGATTTCTGCTGCAAGGAAAACCAACAACCAGGGRCTCACCACCGAAGTGTCATCTCCTGAATGTGCTTTAGTTGAGGCACAAGGTAGCGCTTTTGTCTCTAGCACTACTCCTTGAGGCTGCAAAGAGGAAGACTATGCCTTCCTCAGGATCATTGGTAACTGGAAAATGACAGGTAAGACCCAGCACAGACTTGGGATGTAATTAGTAGCAGGCAGCTTGTAGAGTGTAGGAGAAACAAGCTGACATTATTGTGCTTGCCTTTAACACTGAGCTGGATGGCAATTTCTGGCTTCTGAATTTTCATTCCTGACTAAACATATCCTTGGATGTTTTTAATACATGGATCAGAGATTCAAAGTCTAGCCCAAATGCCTAGAAATGGAAATGTATTCAGGCCAATGTTTCTCCTAAATCTTTCATTTTACATTAGTTACTAAGGAAGGTGTAACTCATTTGTGTGTCATGTAATTGGTTTCTGCTACTGTGAAATCACTGTACTACTGACAACATTACTCTCCTGAGGTTTTTTGTTTTATATATTTCAGAAATACTTTCTGTAAATTACACTTTATTACAGTATATAGCTCTTTGGAGTACCTAGATATTTATGTCACATTACACTGAATGTCATTATGACAAGAGGATCACTTAAGGGACACACAGTAAATCAAAGCAAAACAAAAACCCACATGAAAAACCTGTTGCTGCTATAGCAAGTCCCCAGTGGTACAATTTTCCAACTGCTAATGGTGCATTATAAATCAATGCAGAGGCAGTCTCTTAAAATAAGCATATGCTCCCCTGATTTCTTATATCAAGTCTCACAATATTTTCAGTTTAACTTGTTGCCTAACTACTAGCACACCTGGGTAATACTGTTCCCAGGCAACAGTGTATAAGCACAACAAGAATAAAGCAATGGAAATTTCAATGCGCTGTTTCAGTAGAAGCCTTCTGAGATGGAAAGGGAAATCAGGAATGTAAGGTATTCAAACCACAGAACTCAAGGCATTAGTAGAACTTAATCCTGAAGAGGGTAAATCCTTAGGAAAAGATCAAAGACAAAATAAAACAAATTATGAGAACACTAAAGTTAAAAATAGCTAATAGAGCATCTGTTTTCATGTAGATATGTAAATATGTAGAAGAGAGACCATGCATCAACTTAGAAACCTACCAAGATTGCCAGGGTAAAACACTGTTTACTCAGGAGTGACTGTGAACTATTTTCTGTGGGTTTCCAGAGCCATCAGGAGTGCTTGGACAATTGCTGCAGTTCAGAGCTGCTGAGCTGCGCCAGGACTGGGGGCTGAGGAGCCCTCTGAGGCCAAGGAGAATTTTGGCCTCTCAGAGATGTCCTGAAATGTGTGCATGTCCAAGGAGATCAAGAGACTAAAAAGGCTGAACTTATTCACTCTGTCCCCTGCAATTTGGGGAAAACTTAAAGCATAATTTCCAAATAAGCAGCAAAGGCATGAGGATGGTATTCCTGTGCTAATAGCAATCTGGCACATGGAAGGAGGCCTGGCTTTAAAACCTAAGTAGTTAGGCTTGGATTTAGGCAGATATCCTAAGGCAGCTGCGGGGGAAGTCAGGGGAGTGGAGGTGTTGGAAAAAGAAACCRTTTTATTCCATCTCTGTCTCTCTAGCTTTGTATACTCTTCAGAATCTTGCAGTGTGATGAAAGCATGTAAAGACTGAGCTCCTGAAAGAAGTCAGTATTGGTGCTGTGCAAAAAATCCACACTCTGATATAGAGTCAATACATCCAGATTCTATTTTAGGACTAAAAATTGGCATGAGGAGCTCATTCTACCATTCTCAGCAGTGCAATTTCCGTGCTGTGTACAAATCTATGATGTGGCTCAGAGAGACAACTATGTCTGGTTCAATTTAGTAAGCCAAATCATTCAATTATGAATCACAACTGAACTTATTTCATTAGTGGCTTCATTAAAGTCTGAGGTCCAATGTGCATGAAGAAATATTCTGCCCTGTCTTAACACTGGCAGTGGTTCCTACAAAGCAAGGTGCAGAATGGATATGTGTTCTTGTGTAGCCTGTTGGACCACAGCAGTGCCTTAGGAAGGGAACAGGCTGTGGGGCAGCTCTGTGGCACAACAGCCCGGAGCCAAGAGTGACACTGCAGAAAGGCCTGTGGTACCTGGCAAGGGACCTTGAGTGTAAGGTGTGGGGATGGAGAGGATGGAGATAGTCAGGGCCAAGACCACTAAAACAAAGCTGGGATGAGGTTGCCACATTGAGGAAGCAGGACTGTACATGTGAGTCTCAATAGAGTGTGGGGAGGCAGGGTAGTTGATAGGGAAAAGGAGAAAAATATAGAACTGGTTAAACACAGGGTACTGGGTATGACGGTCTAACTGTCACTTGATCAGCACCCAGAATACAGCTGGAAGGCCACATCCTTCTAGCTGCAAATTGGAGGGGAAGAGGAGGGAAGTGCCAGCTTTAAAACCTTCAGAGCCATGAAGAGAAGGAGTCGGTTCTTGAGCTTAAAAGTTTATTAATCACTGAGTGCATAGCCARAAAAGTTTAAAAGGACAAACATTTGTTATGCCGTCATGTTGTGATACTGTAATAGAAGTGGGCACTTTTTRAACAAGCATTTATGTGTCTTTAAAATTTCCTATTAATATTTTTTCCTATATTAATATTTTTTGTGCACTGTGATTAAAATGTATAAATGATTACATGAATTTAAATACATAAATCACCTAGGGGTCCTGGTGGACAACAAGCTGTCCATGCAYCAGCAGTGGGTCCCTGCGGCCAAGGAGGCGTGGTGTACATTAGGAAGAGCATTGCCAGCAGGTCGAGGGCTCCTGAGTACACAAGGGACATGGAGCTACTGGAGCAGGTTCAGTGGAGGGCTACAAACATAATTAAGTGACTGGAGCAACTCTCTCATCAGGAAAGGCTGAGGGAGCCAGGCACATTYAGCCTCAAGAAGAGACAAGTAAGAGGGACCCTCATCGATGTCTACCAGTATCTGAAGGGAGGACGATGTCAGGCTCTACTCAGTGGTGCCAAGCAATAGGACAAGAGGCAATAGGCAGAAACTGACACACAGGAAGTTCCACCTGAATACGAGGAAGAACTTTTTTACTGTGTGGGTGACTGATAACCACAACAGGCTGCCCAGAGAGGTTGTGAAGGCCCCCTCACTGGAGATATTCAAGAATCACTTGGACACAATCCTCCATGTGCTCTGGGATGACCCTGCTTGAGCAGGGAGGTTGGACCAGATAAYCCATTGTGCTCCCTTCAACCTGACCCATTCTGTGATTTGGTAGAATAGCAAGTTAACATCTGTCCCCAGAAGTCCAGATACTATGCTATTTTTCCTGATACTAACATTGAGCAGTAAGAGTAGCTACCATTAAAATACAGACATATTTCAAAAGCCATTTAAGTAGCAAGTGGCAAAATATAAAATTATCTATAATTGATTAACTTACTCAATCTTAGCAAGGTGTTTCTCATATTTTGCAAGGGATATCTGTAAGGTACTTACCGGAAGACTCAAAAATTCATTAAAGTAATCCACAAGCATGTCATCTGTGGCTAGGAATGCTTCCTATRGAGAGACAAAACAACAAAGCATGACTTGTAATAATCTGTGCTAACATGGTTTGAATGAACTATTGCCTCAAAACATATTTTTCCATGAGATATGACATGGAAGCTTTTGCAAAATATTATTTCCCATTTTTGAGAACATAGTCATTACATCACTATTATGTTCTAGCCATTGCACACCACCAAGGTCCTTACCAATTTAAAAAACACACATGAAGGTAAATACTTTGMCAGTATGTTTATAGATAAAGCCTTCATTAACCAAACAGCTTTTAGATGCTGAAAATCTGCATGTTTATTTTTGAAAAAATGTGCATATACTAACAGTATAGAAATTCCCCATATTGTACCTTTCTTTCTTGCACTTGGGAAGAATGTAATATTTCACCAGGGCCACCTTCTGCTCTCACACTGCTGCTGGGGGATATTTTGGGCAATGTTTGGGGAACATTGGAAACACTGGAAATGAGAGCTCACTGACCTATAATTTGGCTCAGCAAGCAAGCAGTGTATGCCATTGTTTGAATCTGACACAACTGGGAGGCTTCCTGTTGACCTCATCAGAAGTAAAGACTGCCTCTGCAGGTGTTTTTGCATCCTTTCTGACCCCTGCATTTTAAATCCTGCTAACATGAATCAAAAACTGTAGACTAGAAATTGAATATTTTTGCTGTTGACAAAACCAAAAGTATAGCTCCAACTTACTTTTACTGTACTCAATATCTCTACSATCCCCATTTCAATTCAACACAGGGTAAAACTGGAACATTACTCCATTGGTCTTCAGATATATCTTCAGTATAATGAAGACACAAATAATTTTTAGTAGTTTAACTTTCCTGATTATTCTACAATTTCAGCCTTGCAAGGCAAGGARAATCCACTGAAATTTAATGTATTTACCAATAGCAGCAAAGGTGGTGTAACACAAATCTTTTTTCTCTTTCTTAAGCTCATAGCATTGAACTGTGCTAGTGAGGAATAGCATTAAAGAGAGGTTATGCACAGCATACTTGGTATCATGTGTAGGCAGGCAGTATCTTGATCCAAACCCCAGCAGTCTAACCTAAAGAAGAGACAGTTTGTGCTAGATAAGGAAGAAATCTGAGATAACATGTGTGACAAGCCAGGACTAGACCTGGTGGTGTTTGTCTGGCCCTAGTCTGCCAGCATTCATTCCTTAGTGCTTGTGGTTGCTGTTATGACTGATGCAGGAGAGGCAAAGTAGATCACGCTTGTTYCCAGAAAACACTGCAGTGCTGAAAGCAAGGCTTTCATGCTTCATTTGGATCACAGGCCCATGGCCCAATGCAATTGCAGTGCCATGGACGTAGAGATGTTTGGGCACTGATTAAACACAAGAATTTACCAGTGTCTAATCCATTTTGTAATCAACATCGAATCCTCTCACCAATGCTGATATGCAATCAGATCCAGAAATGTCAATTCAGCAAGTGTTAACACAATTAAGAAAATAAATAAATTAGAAACAATCTATAATTAGCCTTGTTTGGTTTGACAYTGACAAGGATGAATCTCAAGATAGGCTTAGATATGATAATAGAACATGAAGGTATCTTATTGGTTYAAAGGACTTAGACAAAACAAGTAATTTATTACCACCTAAAGTATAAGCTCTTCAGGTAWCATGTGTTTTATTTCCCAAGGATATAATTCTCTATGGTTCCATACAGTAGCAAGAAATGTAAACACAGTGGTTGATTAATAAATATTAATGTTTATGATCTTATTAATGCAAGCTTTATTGCTTGACCTCACTGCATCTACACATGATACACTTTCTTCTGGTTTTTATAGGTTTTTTGAAGACAGTCTTATTTTCATTTGAAATCATAGCTGCACTTTCTTATGTGCACATTATAAGTTATGGAGTTGCATGTACAGTACTGTAGCTTAGATTTTTGTGTCAGAAAGCATTTGGTTTCATTTCTTCCCGTGCCATCATTCCTGCTGCACAGTACAAATTATCACGAGAAAAGCTGCCTTAGAATTGCAACTGGAGTTTAAGGTGTGCTAAAATTTGGTCCAAAACTTATGCTTATGTTGGTACTGTTTATAGTAATAAATATTATAAATAAAATAGTACATACAAGTTCCCAAAAGYAGTAACAACACAGTTACACTTTAAAATACACAGTGACAAAGGCATCCAAAACAGGGAATAGGCAAACATTACCTGAGCTGTAATATTTAGGGTGGCATTTCACATGAGGTAACAGATACACATAAATACCTTTCAAACAAGAAGACAAACATCAGGGAAATCCTACAACGAGCTATGAGCAAAAGGCAGAAAAAGTAGAGTAAGGAGATGATTGTTAAACTTGTCACATTGAACCTTCCAGTTGTTTGTTTCCTTTCCTCATTGTAGTTCTCTTCCATTTTCATCTTTATCCTCCATAGTCTCCTGTTACTTTTTTTCTAATTATTTTCAAACTAAGTATTTTGTCTGACAAAATTTTAGGGAGTTACACAGTAGTCTATACTTAAAAAGGAAAGAATTGAGAAAACAGACAGCAGTCTCCAAAATGGGGTTTTGCTCTTTTTGCTCTATAGGTGCACAATGAAAATAATGACCAAGCCTTATAAAGCATACTTACAAACATTTCTTCTGTTACACATGGAGGTTCTGAAAAAAAGGTATTAAATATCATAAGTTATCCAAGCAATACAGTAAAGCTGGTTCAACTACAACTACAATACAGAAACAAAAAGTAGTGAGGCATGACAACTGTCCTGGGAGATCTGAAATAAGATAACTTAGTTCTGAAGATATAAACTTAGAATATGCAGTAATGCTGACCTGTTCATGAAAAGGTTAACTATCACAAGAATCATTTAAATACAATGCAAGTATTATTTAACTATATTCTTCCTCATACCTATCAGTTAACTTCGTATTAGCTTTTCTTYGCAAAATTGATTACTAGAAGCTTGGTGCACCGTTTAATGAAAATACAGATTTATATATGAGACTCTCAAAGTTTTGAACAGCAAATAATACTGTTGGATAATAATAATACTGGATAATACTGGATAATGTTGGATAATACTGTTTGATAATAATCAAATCGTGATAAAATAAAAAAGATTCAATTGTGTTCCCGAATAATCAAATCTCATTCATTCTAGGAGAATATCCTATCTTTAGTGATGCCATCTGAAGGGAGTAAAGTTCTCTCATCGCAGCGATGAATTCTGCCGGGCAAGTTTTAAACCCGTCAGTTCGAAATGCCCCTTCAGTGTCACCGTCTCTGTACCTGAGGCCGCCCCCGAGGGGCCCGAGCCCCCGTGCGGCACGGAGCCAGCCCAGCACTGCGGGGACGTACCGGTGGTGAGCCTCTTGGTGTGCATCGTGCGGCCGGCACCGGCACCCGCACCCGCACCCGCATCCGCAGCGGCACGGCCCAGCCCGCCTGCGGAGCTCAAACCCCGGGTGGCAGCGGCGGCGGCAGCTCCCGGGCCCCGGGCCCCGCCGGGCCTGTGCCCGCCGCGCCGTTGCCATGGCGCTGCAAACAGGCCGCGCTCCCTCAGGGATGACACCGTCCCAAAGGAGGTCCTGAGAACCAGCCAGCTGAGGAAACCTGTAGCCAGAAATGAAACTAAACACTCCCAGAATGTTAGTGTCTGCCTCGGCTCCAGCGTGTAGGAGAAAGTCACGTTCTGGTGTGGTCAGCGAAAGCTGTGTGCAAAGAAGGAATTCAGGCTCCTATATGAGGATTTCAGTGAGATTTAGGTGTTTCACAACTGGGATCTGAAAACTATCCTACCTAGCAAGTACTTCATCCTAGAATTGCATAAATCCTTCAGGATTTTTTGGCATGAAAGTTCACACCAACCTTCTCTGCTCCTGCGTGTTTCCAGACCAGMGCTGCTTTCAGTAGCTTAGCAAAAATCCCACTGGGACTAGTTGTGCAAGATGTCGTGTATGCAAGGTATGAAAAGCTCCTTTGAGAAGCCTGATCCATCACCCCTACTCCAGAAATGCCCAAAAGGCACCAAGACCTTCCCATTCCCAGCAAACTACCACTTATGTCTCCTTTCACAGAACAGAGTAGTAAATCCAGTCGTWCCGCTCAGCTGTGGAAAAAAATAGTTTTATTTTAACTCATACATGACTTTTGTGGAATCCATGATTAAGTAAAAACAGAWTAATGCACATGCTCAGGGACTGCAGCTGAAAGTCCAGGAATTGATGAGTGTTAATAATGAACAAGCAGCAAATCTATTATCATAGAGGCAGGGAAAATAGCTTMATCTCCTAGAAACACATGACATTTTGCACCTTCTACTCCAGATGTGCATTCCCACTCCTGGGGGTGCCTGCCASATACAAACACTGATCTAATTGCTAAATGCCAAAATAACACTTTTAATTGTCTTAATAGAATATTATTAGCTGCCTGAATAGCTTTTTAGGGTGGTTTGGATTGGGGTTGGGGGGGGAGGGGGGTGTCCCTTAAGCAGACAAGAGTATTTCCAAAGACCTGAGCAATAAGCTGAATAATGTGTGATTCAAGATATACGTTTCAGCAAAAAGCTTCATATAGATATATGAAGACCATATTCAACAGAAGCAAAGAATAAAATACARAGATTCAAACAAGTGAGCAATGGGTGATTTAAATATCAGCAGTCTGATGAAGTATTAACTATTCTTACATTCTCTGTGTGCAAATTCGATTCTGTAAGACATGACAAACAGTTAATGTTGAATTTCCTAGTGCCATGTATCAGGACATATTCTATTGTCACTATGAAATATTTCAAATAGGTGTATTTAATGTATAGGTAAGAAAAATGTGCATAAAAGCTCTTAAAATTCCTAGTTAAACCTTTTCAACAGATAGAAGAATTGCATTCCATTGTATTATGAGCCTGGATTGTCTCATAAGCAAACTACATAATATGATTTTAAATGTTTAAGTTAATGTTCATTCCACTCATTTTCCCCCTGCCCCTTTTCTTTCTCATATAGGTATAAACATAGTCTGCAGTGTATAACTCTCACTGAAACGCTTGCAATTCTTGAAGAAAAAAGAACAGAAACCTGATGAATGAGCTTTTTTTTTTTTTATAAGTGGAAGCTATGACACAGCTTRGAATCAACTGTAATCTAGAAATGAGTCAATTAAAGAAAAATAAAAAAAGTCCTTTTCCTATACGTCTGTCATCAAGTGTATTTTGACATCAAACTCTTAGGTCTTTGTGTTGTTTAAATGTGCTCAAAGATTACATTTAGAATTTAGGTCATCAGAAAATACACACTGTACTCTCTCATGGAGACTCTATTAGCAGTCATCATCACTTTCTCATTATTTTAGTTAACACCACACATTTAGGTCAAATACTTGGTGTGTGTATATTTCAGTCCTGATTTTATATTGCCAATTAAAAGTCTCCCAGCTGGTGAAGCTGAGATACAAAGATTGAGCTCATTTTTCTCATTAGTCACATTTCTAAGCTCATTTTTCTCCTTTGTCACATTTCTCTCTTTCTATGCTCTTATTTTAATTTTTAATCATTATTTAGCTTAGCAGACCTGCAGGCCTACAGGATGTTTCATAAATATAGTCAAAGCTGTGATTTACCCCAAAAAGCATCTTATCTTATAGTAAAGATGAATGGCTAGACAGGCTGGAGAATAAGGTCTAAAAAAGGTGATACCAGTAAAATAKTAGACAAAAGAAAGCAAAAATACTAAAAGTAGGCTTAAAATGGTCAGAAATTTTAGAACATGGTGATCTAGCAGGAGGCCATCACAGGAAGATATCTACACTGSAAGACAAATGGAAGGGAAACGTAAATCAGTCCACTTCATACCTGCTGGCATTTCCCTCCTCTTATTACTGAAGAACTATGTGGAGATGTGAACTTTCCATCAATACTTTACTCTGTCCTCCACAAATCTCTGAAATACATGCTTTCAGCCATTCATCAAGGTAAGGAGTTGAAATTATTACCTAGGCAAAGCAGATCAAAGCTGCTGAGACAACTTAGCCCTCTAAGAGCCACATGTGTAAACTGCGCCAGCTTGCTGGATGAACAAACCTCCTTGGGACTTGCTCAGGTAAAGACAAAACATAAGCTGGATTGCTTTATTAAATCTAAATGCACACTTGTGTTTGTAAGTGCTAATCTGTGCTCAATTCCTGGCAATGGTCACAGTAAAGTCATTAATTTTCACATAATTAATTATGTAGTCAAAAGGTAGTGCATACTAATAACAAAAATGCAGATACACCTCTAGAGATACTTAAGGGTTGCTATTAATTTTCCATAGAAGCGCCCCATCTCAGACATAAGTGGGCATTTCTTCCTGTGATATCTTTAATACCTAAATATTTTTGCAGAAGTCAGATATTAGTTAAACATAACTACTGTTTCTTTTTCAGGTAAGTACCACACAGATTTTAGTCCTGAAACTGAAARCTGCAATCACATACACTGAAAACAGGTGCTAGGAAACCTATTTAAATATTATCTGCAGAAGTGCCGAAGTGGGAGTCAGATCATGAGAGGGAAGCACAAATCCAGTGTCAGATAACTGGCCCTTAAATGCCTTAAATTATTCTGTTGGCAAAACCACAGAGGCTGCCTGTGGTGATGGTACTGCCTCTTGTGTTGAATCTGATATTCCCAGTTTACAGGCACAGTTTAATGCAATTCTGTGGCTGTCAGAAAAAATTAGTGCAAACAMCTGAGGAAACTGGTTTTGGGAATATGAGTAGTCAAAAGAATTTGAAAAGGAGAAAAATAATATTCCTGAAGATAGTCTAGGTGAAGAGCAAAAAAGCAAGTGCTTAAAAATAAAATAGGATGGGTCAATAGCTTGTATGGGGAATAGTGTGGCCTGCAGGACCAGGGCAGCAATTGTCCTTCTGTACTTGGCACTGGTGAGGCCACTTCTTGAGTGCTGTGTCCGGTTCTGGGCCCCTTACTACAAGAAGACATTGAGGTGCTGGAGCCTGTCCAGAGAAGGGCAACGAAGGTGGTCAGTGGTTTAGAGCATGAGTCCTTTGAGGAGTAGCTTAGGGTGCTGTGGTTGGTTAGCCTGGAGCAAAGGAGGCTCAGGGGAAACCTTATCACTCTCTACAACTGCTTGAAAGGAGGTTGTRGTGCGTGGATGTTGGCCTCAAGTTCTTCCAGAGTTTTAGATTGGCTATTAGGAAAAAAAATCTTCACCTAAAGGATTGCCAGGCACTGGAACAGGCTACACAAGTGGTTGAGTTCACTGTCCCTGAAGTTATTTAAGGGACTTGTGGATGTGACACTTAGGGGCATGGTTTAGTGGTGGATTTTGAAATTCCAGGTTAATGGTTGGGCTCAATGATCTTAGAGGTCTTTTCCACCTAAACAATTCTGTGATTCTAGAAACARTAAAGGAAGAAATGTAACTTAGCTTTGGGCTATCAATATTAGAAACCTTTAAGTACTGGAGGAGACTTTCAAAGGGAAGTCCAAAGAGCTTTACCTCTAAAGAAGTTTTCATTTGCATAGTCACTGGAGAATACTTCTTTGCTTGTCCATGCTGCCAATCATCCAAGAATTCCTACAACAATCTTATTATATCAGGACAATGTAGAGGTGTCTTATCAAATTTAAAGGCTTTAAGTAAGGTTTTATTTCAGTTTGCTTAATATGGGTCATGAAAACATAAGGAGAACACAGAGACATACCTGGAAAATAAACTGGAATTTGGAGGGACCACTTAGTAATTTGCCATATATATTTGCCCTCTTACTACCTCCTAAATGCCAAGTAGTTTGTGTGCCTCCGGCATATACACCTGCATCTGATTCCTTCATAAATTTCTATTAGTATCTTAAGTCATAACTCCTAGAGCTTTAGGAGAATTTCACACTACCTTTTCTAATTTTGGCAAGGAKCATTAGAACTTAATGGAAAAAGCCTATTTAGCAAGATTATGAAACAAAAGTATTACAAATAATAATAGAAATAAATAAATTATTTAGAAATTATTATTAGAAATAAAGTATTAGAAATAAATTCTACAAAGGCAGGATGAAAATCAGAAAAGAATTCCTGGASCCACAGCTATCAAACCACATACAAGATAAAAACATTGGCATAATGCATAAGTCTACAGCAAGGCAGAGTTTTTTGCTAGGAACTTTACAGCAGTTAATGTAGCATATC